CCATCGTATTTGTATGTGCAAAAGTTGCTGGAGGTTGCGTGTGGGAGCAGGGCTTGTGCGAGCGGCCCCAATATCACATATGTATCCTCTCCAGGGGACGACATCTTGCGGCACAATGGCTATCGTATACGGAGAGGGTGGATGGAGGATCGAGGGAGGACGGAGGAGGGAGGATAGAGCAGGGATGCGGGATGATGTAGGACGACAACAAAGGATGGAGGCCAGAGGATGGAAGAGAGGGGATGGAAACAAGAGGATGGAGGGTAGATGATGGACGACGGACGATCACGTCGACGGGGGGTGGAAGAGGGATGACGAATAAGATAGCGGGGAGGGCAGACGATCGAGGAAGATAAGGCGGCGGAGGACTAGGATGGGGAAACGGCTGGGGAGGCGGAGGAAGACCACGGGCAGGAGGAGGAGGAGGAGGAGGAGGAGGATGGTGGATGGTGGATGGTGGCTCACGAGAGTGAACGAGTCTGGGGGGGATGATGTCGGAGGGGAGAGAGCGAGAGGGGAACGGATACGCCTATAGAAGAAGTGGGTGCAACGGGCGGGTCGGGGTTGGCCTCTGTCTCGAACGTCCGCTGGATGAGCTCCATGTCATCGGGACCCGTCGCAGGTACTGCCTCGCGCGGGGGCGGGCCGTGGGATTAAGCGCTTCGCCCCCCGACCTCCGCCCCCATAAATATTGTCCCACTTCCCCCGTCCCCTCCCGTGCACCTCCCTCCATCCATCCATCCTCCCTTCTCGTTCTTCTCCTCATCCTCCTCCTCCTCCTCCTCCCCTCCTCCCCTCCTCCTCCTCCTCCTCCTTCTCCTCCTCCTCCTCCTCCTCCTCCTTATCCTCCTCCTCCTTCTCCGCCTCCCTCCCTCCCTCCTTTTTCCTCCTCCTCCTCCTCCTCCTCCTCTTCCTCCCTCATGCCTCTCCTCTTCATCTCCCTCCCTCCCTCCCTCCTCCCTCCTTCTCTTCCTCCCTCCTCCTGATTCACTCCGTGACACGAGCCTTCTTGGCCTGCTCGACGGGCGGCGGGTCCCCTGGTACAGTATCCTCCTCGATTGGCCCGTCGATTGGCTCCGCCAGGGTTGACTCGATGGGCTGCGCCTCCTTGATTGGCTGGACGGCTGGCTCGATCTGATCGCTAATGTCGGCTGCCTGCGGGAACGGTTCGAATGGGCTATGCGGTAAGCTCGGCGGCTTCTCGCGAGAAGGAGGAGATAAGAGGGTTATGTTAAGGGGAGGGGGGTGAGGAGCACTATCCTCGTCGGAGACCGATCCCCACGCCGACCCGATCGCGTTCGATTCGACGTCGACCCCCACCATGTCGTATTCCCCTTCGTCGTCGTATAAGTCGGCATATGGTTCGGCCTCCGACGGGGGATAACGTGGAGGCGAGAGAGAGAGGGGGAGAGAGAGGTGGTGAATTTGGAGGGCGGTGGAGATATGAGGAGGGAGAGTGAGGAGGAGGATGAGATGAACGAGGACGAGGACCAGGATGAAACTGATGAGGAGGATGACGACATCGTTATATATGCCGTCCTCATTGTCAGCATCGTCATCATCCTCATCACCTTATATGTGTGACATTGTCGTCGTCCTCGTCGTCGCCATCGGTCTGGGCCTCGTCTTCCTCGCCGTTACGGCGCCCTTGATATGATTGTCATGCCCCCCCCCTCCTCCCTCCTCCTCCTCCTCCTCCTCCTCCTCCTCCTCCTCATCCTCATCCTTACCCTTTGATCGTCCTCCTTCCTCATCATCCTCCTTCCACCTCCGCCTCCGCCTCCTCCTGAAGGTGTTTCAACAGTCTCGCGCCTCGGGAATGCCCATGTGACCCTCGGGCTGCGCGTCCGAGAGGGGCATGGGCAAGATCTGCTGCGGGCTGCTGATCGGCTGCGGGCTGCTGTCTATCTGTTCGGCTGGTTGTGCTGCGATGATGCCCTCGAGATCTTTGCCGATGCTGTCGCTGCCGTCTTTGTCACATGCCTTGCCTAACATTCGGGGAATCTTCGACAGCGGCTCGTCATCGCTGCTCAAGTCGATCGGGCGATTGTACACTCTCGGCTCCACTATGCCCAGCTGTGCCTGTAAAGGGAACCCGACCAAAGCTACACTCTTCCTCCTCCTCCTCCTCCTCCTCCTCCTCCACCTCCTCTCCTCTTCGAGCCCCTCCCTCCTCCTCCTCATCCATCCATCCATCCATCCATCCATCCATCCATCCATCCATCCATCCATCCATCCATCCATGCCTCATCCTACATCTCGTTTCCCTTCCACCCTAGGGAAAGCCTGCGCGGCCGATGCTGCCGCACTCGTCGCTGCCGAGCTCGACGATGCTTCATGTGCACTGCTGCGCACCATACCCGTGATGTTGCTGTTGTTGTCCTCGCGCGGAGATGGGGGTTGGATCCGAACGTCGTCTCGTCGCCGCCGCCACCGCCACCGCCGCCGCCGCCGCCGCCGTCGTCGTCGTCGTCGTCGTCGTCGTCGTCGTCGTCGTCGTCGTCGTCGGCGTTGTCGTCGGCGGCGTCGGCGTCGGCATCGGCGTCGGCGTCGTTGTCATCTTTTTCGCCCTTGCCCTCGTTATCGTTCTCGCCCTCGTCGTCGTCATCGTCGCCCCCCTCCTCCTACTACTCCTGCTCCTCCTCCTCCTCCTCCTCCTCCTCCTCCTCTTCCTCCTCCTCCAACTCTTCCCCCCCCCCTCCTCTCAAGGAGGGGGTGGGTAAGACCGCATGCAGCTTTCGGGCAACGCTCGGGCAACTTCCCCGAGTTGCCCGAACGTTGCCCGAAAGTTGCCCGAAAGTTGCCCGCCGCGGTCCCGCGTGAGCATGGCCCTGCGCAGCGCCATGCACCCGCGCGGGGCGCTTGCGCAGGCGCCTAGCACGCCTTGATGCTAGCGCAGGCAGCCAGCGAGGAGGATGGAATAGGGCGAGGTGGAGGGTGGAATAGGGCGAGGTGGAATAGAACAACACCCCCATCTGTCCACGGACCACGACCACAGCGGCCACAAGCCACGGAACCGATACGTGTTTATTCGATATACGCATGACAGTGCACTCTGAATGTATATATATATATATATAGTTGTATATATATATATATATGTGTATAGATATATATAACATACATGCATGCATACATGCAAACAAACATGCATCCATCCATCCATCCATCCATCCATCCATCCATCCATACATACATACATATATACATACATACATTCATGCATACATGCATGCATGCATGCATGCAAACACATGCATGCATGCATTCACGCATGCATGCATGCATACATGCATGCATGCATACATACATGCATGCATGCATGCATGCATGCATACATACACACATACAACTTTGTATGTAAATATACGGGTCATCTCGATTCTCCACTCGTGCAAACGCTTATTTGGGCCATGTGATGGCGGCGTGGCCTGCAAAACTGGTGTTCGGGGCCTCCAGGATGAACAAAAAAGGTTGTTTCGTTTTTTTTCAACTTTTCGCGGGCGTTTGAAAAAAACAGTGGTTTTGAAAATTTTCACTTTTTCTGAAAAAAGAGACCTCTGGGCAGGGGCCCTCACCGGGCCCCGGGACCGTTGCAAAACGACTGAGGATGGAAAACCAGTCCTGGGGAATGGGGCGAGCCTTCTGGGGACCCCGTATTGAAAAAATCACGACATCGGATCTCTGGGTAAGAGTGACCTTTCGCCGGAGTGACCTCTGGTGCGGGCCCATTCGGGCCCCCCGATCGCCGAACGCGATGCGACAGTGGCGTCGTGCGCTCTTGCGTCTGGCCCCCCCGTGGCCCCCCAAAGAGTCGCGCACCAGAGGTCACTCTTAGCCAGGGTCGCTCTTGCGTGTAGCCGAGAGTTGCCCATGAATCAGGCGATCGCAAGCATGGATCAAGGGAGCGTGGATTAGCGACGGGTCCTGCTTCCGTGGGAAATCGCGGACTTCCGCCGCCAAGCGAGGCGGCACCGGCCGCCTTTTGGGGGAGGGCACCTCCCCCGATCCATGGATTTGGCGACCGCGCGCCAAATCCATGGATCGCCAATCCATGTTTGCGCGCCCCCGACCATGATCGCCATGGGGTGAGCGTGTCCTGCGGGCAACGGGTCCTGAGGTCTCTTGTAGTTTTTGGGCACTCGGGGCCCTCCACGGGCAGCGGGAATGTCAGAGAATGGCTCAGAATAGTTAAAAACGTTTGCTCTGGGGAAGGCCCCGGGGATCCAGGGCCCGCTTCCCTCAGGACCCGTTTGCCCCATGCTAACCATGACCAGGGCGCGTGGCGGATCGACCTTCGGGGACCTCCTGGCGACTCAATTTTGACGAGCCTCGCGCTTTCGCTGGGTTTCGGGCCCCTGGGCCCTGGCAGATCGATCCGGCTCGCATGCAGTGCAGAAAGATAGGGTCGGGGGGTCTGGTAGTGATTTTGTTGCGATGTTGGGATTTTTCTGCAACCTCAGATCGGAGGAGTTGTCCATGACCACCGCCTGTGGCGAATCGATTCTCGGGGACCCCGACAGGCGGTGAATACGGACATGTTCGGGCCCCCATGGGCAGGGGCCAGAATGTGCACGGTGAGGGCAGTGGACAAGGAACCTTTGGATAAGGAATCCAGGGCCTGGAAGCCGGTGGAACTCCAATCGTGGATGATTGGCCATGGGCATCACCGCCGCCCTCATCAGACAAGGAATCCTCCAGGGTTGGAAGCCTCCTGGGCACATTCCTTGACGAACGCCCCCACCGTACATGTCCACCGCCCGCCAGGATCCCGGGACGTCGGTTCCCAGGGCGGTGGATGTGGATACCTCCCCGCCTCGCACGTCACGGCCGGAGGCGTTCCTGCCGCCCGCGCGGGGCGTCGCCGGGGGCAGCGCTTCTGGCAGCTGCGGCGCATCCGCAGCGCCTGCTGCTGCTGCTGCTGCTGCTGCTGCTGCTGCTGCTGCTGCTGCTGCGCCGCCGCGCGCGTCGGGCGCGGGCGGCGTCGGCACCCCGACGAGGCCCAGGGCGGCGGCGCTTGGCGCTTCGGCTAGCGCCAACGGCGAGGGGCCGGTGGTCTTCTCCATGGCAGACGACGACGACGGCGTGTCTTTCGAGGAGCAGCAGAGTCCCGGGCGTCAGAGCGGGAGCCCCAGCCATCGAGGCATGGATTTGCTGGAGAGCCCAGCCAAGGCCTCCGTGGGCGGTGCTTCGGACGACCTGCACGAGTACGAGAAGATCGAGGCCCAGTTTGAGCGCTTCCGGGCCCGCCAAGCCGAGGTGGAGCGCAATGTGGCCGCGCTTTTGCAGAGGCTCAACACGCAGGTCCGCGTTCCAAGCTCAGTGGCCTCCTCTGAGTGTGGGGACCTCACGTCGCTGGCGTCTTCCGAGTGGGACGCCGAGTCTCTCGGACCGACTGAGGACGGGCTGAGCTTTCTCGGTTCCAGAGCGGGCTCGCCGCCACGCTCTCCGCTTATGTCTCCGAGGGGCGAGAGTGGCGAGGCCTCCTCGTCAGGGGCTGGGAGGCGACCCGCGCAGGCGGACGGCCGGGCCGGGGCCGGGCCTGCCGACGTCGAGCTTCCGGCCAGACCAGCAAGACACAGCACGGGCACGGTCCGCGGCGGGGGCGAGCGAGGCGATTTGCTGAAGCTCACGCCAAGGAAGGGCACCGACAGCCAGGGCGCCGATGGCGCTGTGGCGGCCGCCGCCGCCGCTGGCACACGGGCGCCTGCGGGCGGTGGCTCGCTGGCGGCGGCTGTGCCAGCGCCGCCCCCGGGAGCCGCCGCAGAGGCGGCCGGCGAGGGGGCGGGCAGCGCCGAGGCCGCCGGGAGCGCTCGGCTTGGCGCGGAGGTCGGTGGTTCAAAGATGGGGTCCGGAGGGATGGGGCCCAAAGGACGAGGTGCTTCAGACAACGTGGAGCCACGCTCGGAATCCTTAGGTCCCCATCCCTCAGGACCTCTTCCTTGAATCACCGAGGGGGCCGAGCCCGTGCCCGCGGTGCCCGAGCCCGCGCCCGCGGTGCAGGCCACCGCCCCGCGCCTGACGGAGCAGCTGCTGGCGGAGTCGGAGGCGGTTGCGCAGCGCCCAAGCGGCACGCCGCCGCCCGCGGGCCGCCCGGAGGCGGAGGTGCGCCGCGACCTGCTGCCCCGCTTCGGCGCGGCCAGCGCGGATCCCTCCTGCCATGCGGCTCTCGTGCCTCGGGGCGGCGACGAGGCGGGCGACGAAGACTGGCGCTGGCAGGGCTGGACCATGTTCCCGACCCAGGATGGCCGGCTGTTTTTCCACCACGAGGCGCAGCAGAAGTCGCAGTGGTACCAGCCAGACGAGCTCAGCGGTGTCCTGGGCGAGTGGAAGGAGGTCGTCGACGAGTCACAACCATCGCGGCCCATGTTCTGGCGGAATGAGTTGCTGCGCCTCTCGCTGTGGAAGGACCCGAGGAACACGCCCAGTATCTTCCAGGCGGCCCTGGACGGCAACCTGTTCTTCATGCAGCTGTACGCTGAGGTGGAGGGGCAGCTGGATGTCGTCGACCCTGCGGGCCTCAGTGCGCTGCATTATGCTTGCGCGGGAGGCTCGATGCAAAGCACGATCTTCTTATTGCAGCGGCAGGCGGAGCTGGACAAGCCGGACAAGACTGGGGCGACGCCGTTGATTTTTGCGTGCCGCTACGGCTACGCAGAAGTGGTGAAAGTTTTGCTGGACGCTGGCGCCAGTTTGCAGGCAGCATGTCAGGGCGGCAACACCGCCCTGCACGAGGCAGCGGCAATGGGACAGCTGGACTGTTGCCACTTGCTGCTCCTGTGCGGCGCCGACGCGTCGCTCCCCAACGACAGCGCCCAGACCCCCCTGGACCTGGCCGCGAGCAACGGGAACCACAAGTGCCACATGCTGCTCAGGCACCACCAGCAGAACATCCCCCGCCCGGACGCGCCCTGGGCCCAGCGGGCGGGTCCTGAGGCCGCCGCCAGGGCGCCAGCGCCACCGCCGCCGCCGGGCCCAGCGCCGGCCCAGGCCGCGAGGTCGCCGCCACCGGCGGGCTGGAAGGCGGCCCTCGCGCCTGCGGCTCCCCCGCGGCCCGCGTCCGCCGGTGGGCCGCCCGCGGCCGCCGCCGCGGCCTCGCCGCCCCGGCCTGCGCAGGCGGCCCGCGAGAGGAGGCCCTCTGCGGGCGCGGCCGCCTCGCGCTCGCCGAGCGCGCGCCGCTCGCAGCCGGCCGCCGCGGCCGGCGGTGGCCCGGAGGGCGAGGAGGTGCAGCGGGGTGGGTCACCTCCGGGCGCAGCCGTGTCGCGCTCGCCGAGCGCGCGCCGCTCGCGGCCGGCCGCGACCAGGGATGGCCTGGAGGGCGAGGAGGTGCAGCGGGGCGGGTCACCTCGCTCAAGCGGGACACCGACCAAGGCCGCTGGTGGGCCCGAGCAGATTCAGCTGCGCGGGTCGCCTCGCTCGAGCGGGACACCGACGAGGGCCGCCTCGCCCATTCCACCGCCGGTGGAGGAGCAGAGGCGCGGCGTGCTGGGATTCGTCAGGGGCTTGTGGCGGAGACCCATCCGCGCGGACCTCGGAGTCCCGAACCAGTACCGATACAACCCCGACACGATGAGGTGGGAGTTACCGCCGACCGCGCAGCGGTGAGAAGCCAGCTTCTTAGTGGTATAGGGGCTCTGGCCGATTGGGCTCAGCAGCCATAGCGCGCGGCTTTTGATGATGGCACGTTGGCGTGTTTAACACCAAAAAAACCATTGGCAAGTGGAGTAAGTAAGCCGCAGGACTTCGAATTTGAGGCCAGGGCCCAGGAAGACGTGCCCTCGAAGAACCTGCGAGACCTGGAGGCCAAGGAATACAAAAGCAAGGAAAATTAGCGACCTACTCTGATCCCAAATGTCAGACCAGGTAGGCATGAATGCATCTGGCTGTCTAAAGCATATCCCGCCACCGTGCCGGCGCAGTATTGGTATCGACGTGTAGGCAGGCTGTCGGACGGATGATAATGTCAGGGGAAAAAATACACAGACACAATTAATCGTCGATTGCCCAGAAAATATGGGAAGTGGGGGGAAGACAAAAACTAAGAAAATATTGGAAAATATGCTGAATCCTTTTATTTGTGTCTATCTGTTTGTGTGTCCCAGGGCCCCTTCATAATGGGTGGGTGACCCAAAGGGGAGGGTGAAGAAAAGGGCCCCAGAGGGGCTCCTTTAGGGCCCCCTTTGGGCGCCACCTGGCTCCAGAAGGGGTCCTGAGGACCCCGTGAGGGTCCTTTTCTTCACCCCCCATTTTCGGGCCGGACGAAAGGAGGGGATTGGGGAAACGGGGGGGGTACGAAATCTGCTGCATGCAGCGCTGGTTTCGGCCCCACCGAGGGGCCCGTCCTTCGATACATAGCCGCCTCCGGCGCCGGGAGGCGCCGGGGAAATCAGCTACACGAGCTGATTCTCAACCCCCCCTTTTGCTATCCCCCCCTTCTCACCCGGCCCGACATCCGGGCCACCCCCCCAGTACCACCCGCCCGAGGCTGATTCTTCCGAGCCCTCACAAGTAGACGAGGGGCTCAGCCCCGAGACCCTGCCTCGTCTTGGGCGCGGCGGCTCTGCCAGGAAATGCCACAGGGGCTTCCCAGAGGAGCGTGCAGGAGCCGTCTTCAGAAGGGGGATGTTTCGTGGGGGGCGTCTGGGGGCCTCTTCGGGCCTGGCCTCCTCGGGTGCCCCTTGGGGGCTTCCAGGGGCCAGGGGGGTTTTGAGATATTGTGATGGTTTGGGCGCGGTGCTTCCACCTAGGCTTATGATGCTCCAACCTACTTTAGCCTTGATCACCAGGAAAAATTTCGAGCGCCCCCAAAAGTACCGAAACTCAAGAGTTTTCACGTGTCGGGCCCTGGGACTGTTTCGACACTCTTTTGACACTTTTCCGGGTGCTCGAAATTATTTCTGGGATGCGGTCCTTAAGTAGGACGGGAACAACATAAACCTAGGTCTGCCGAGGAGGCTCGGTAGGATCATCATCTTGTGGCCGTGTGCTACTATTTTGCGCCGTCTTGGGGGTCTTTGGGGGCCGTCGTGCGTAGTCGGAGGAACGCGTGAGTACGAGGACGAGGAGTAGGAGGAGGATGAGAAGGATCGATGATTCGGTGATATCGGGGTCTGTGATCTCTGCTGGCAGAGTGTCAAGAACAGCAGCCCCCGGTGAGGCAGGCGGGGGTAGTGAGTTCTGGGAGGGGGAGAGGAGGAGGAGGAGGAGGAGGAGGAGGAGGAGGAGGGAGGAAGAGAAGGAGGAGGAGGAGGATGAGGAGGAGGAGGAGGAGGGGGAGGAGGAGGAGGGAGGAGGAGGAGGAGAAGGAGGAGGAGGAGGTCAGCTCTGGAAGGAGCTGTAACCCACTTCACGGAGGGGGGCGCGGGAGCTCGCAGCGGCGTCGGCGAGTCACGAGTTGAGGGGGGGGGTGCGGCGAAGCGTTGGGATGCAAAGGGGGCGGGCTTTGGAGCAACGGGGGGCTCGGGAGGATAGTGCACTTGAGCTCTGGGAGAACCTTGATTCCGCGATGAGGGCATGAGGGCTGGGTCTGGCAGGGGAGGAGGCAGAGGAGAATGAGAAGGAGGAGGAGGAGGAGGAGGAGGAGGAGGAGGAGGAGGAGGAGGAGGAGCGGCAGCAGCACATGGTTGAGGAGGAGGAGGAGGAGGAGGAGGAGGAGGAGCAAAAGGAGCGAGAGTGAAGACGGATGCGTTACATGGCCTTCTCCCCGCACCGAGTCCGCATTCTGAGCTTGCCATGGGGGATCCTCCAGCCGAGGGCCTACAGAGAGAAGGGAGATGCAGTTTCTTGCGACTTGCGGTTTGATGGTAAAGGGTCTGAAGCCGCGTGCGATTGGAAGCCCGTGGCAGAGAAGGATTGCACGATGGCGACATCAGTTGCGATGGCCCCATTCTCTATTGGGTGCCATATTCCATACGAGCCTGACCGGACCGTGTTGACCTGAAACGTTTGTACCCCCACCCGGTATGTTCAAACGTATCAGGTTCGCCAGGTTTCACGTCCTGTATCCAATCCGGGGCCCACTATCCTCGACAAATGGCAGGGTGCGGGCTGCATGCGTTTTTTTTATGTTACGACGTCTTGGCGCCGCTTCATATCAGGAGGGAAGAAGTACACAGACACGATTATTCGTCGATTTCCCAGAAGATGTAGGAAAATATGGGAAGTGGGGGGAAGACAAAAGCCCAGAGCACATGGGCAACTATAGGGCATCCTGTTATTTGTGTCTATTGGTTTGTGTGCTCCGTGCCCCTCTCATCATAGGCAACCCGTCGCTCCCCGCCCGACAGGTGGGGGGTGACAGACTGAGAGAGCACTGCGGCCGCCGGGCCCAGTGCGTGCTGGTGTCCCTCGGGGAGCCCGCCTCGCGCTCTCAGTGCTCACACGTTCTCGACGTGCGCGTCGCCGCAAAGACTCTTGCCCGGCGATCTTGCCGCTGCCAAAGCCCCGGGCATGAAAGGAGAGTGGATTCTCAACGTGCGATGGTCCCTGCTGCCAGCGCCAGTATCGTCGTTGGCAGCATTGCCACAATTTCTGTTCAAACGATTTGCCTTCAAACTCGTAAGAGGCATGTCTGACTTATAATCTAAGCCATCTAGGCATCGAGCTGGTATGGTATCAACATATTACATATGCAATTGGTGCACTCGCACGCAACTAGCCCTTACAACATCCGTTTTGCGTTCCTCGCGCGTGCTCGTTCACCTAAATCTATCATCACGATTACCGCGTCGCCACTATGAGGTATTATTGGATACGGTCCACGAGAAATATGTTCCGCCCACCCTCTGTGTAGAGCATGTGTGCGAAATGAACATGCGCGAACATGTCATTAGATTTGGCACCCACCTGTACCTCAGCATGTATGCGTATACTCCTTCTTGCAGACACATACACCTACACACATGTGTATAGCACACTTAGAGCTCACAAGAGCGGCTCTCATGCGGCAGTACCTAACTTTCCATAGCATTCGATTATCCTACCGTGCACGGCATCTGCTGGATGCCGCGTGCATTTGACAGAATCGCGTTGGACAGGGCGGGGAGTAGTGGTAGAGAGTGGGCCAGTCGTTGGTCTTATCTCCATGAACGTGTGCCACCAGCGTCCTTAGCTGCCTCCTTCTCACGCCATCCGTTGCGGCGCTCCTGGCCGTGGCCTTGCCGAGGTGACGAGTGGGCGAAGGCGGATGAAATAATGAAGAGGGAGGGAGAGGGAGGGAGGTGGAGTGGCGAGGAGGTGGAGACGGAGGAGGGAGGGCAGGAGGAGGAGGAGCAGGGAGGGAGGAGGAGGAAGGAGGGAGGGCAGAGGGGAAGGGTAGCAGAGGAGGTGGAGAGGGAGGAGGGAGGAGTGGCAGGAAGGCGAGGAGCACGCGCCCCCCCCCCCTCCAGAGAGAGAGAGAGAGAGCCGGCCGCCAGCTGGAGCGGCGAACGCGGGAGGCGGAGGAGGCGCCCGCTGGGGCCAGTCGTCCTCGGCCCGCCTTCGCCTTCTCTCGCCCTCTCTCTCTTCCTCTCTCTTCCTCTGACTTCCTCTCTCTCTCTATTCCTCTCTCTCTCTCTCTCTTCCTCGCTCTCTCTTTTTTTTTCTCTCTCTCTCTCTCTCTCTCTATGCTTGTTTCTCTCTCTATCTCTCTTTCTCGCCCTCGCACGCTATCCACTCGCAAGGCATAGCGTGTCGCCGGGGCCGTCGCGGCGACACGCTCTCCAAAAGTTCATAGTCGCAGGATGACAGCTTGTCCCAATCCTCTCTGCTCCCCAACTCGTCGCCCCCTTCCCGCTTGCCCTGCCGCGTCGTTGCTTGGTGGTTTCTGAGGGCCCTCGTGGGCCGTCTCGGGAGCACCCTCGGCAGTCCTAGGATCTTGGGGCCCTCTTCGGGGTCTCGTGCCCCCCCCAGTCATTGTGCTGTTTAACGCCGCAGACGTCGCTCATAATCAGCAGGCAAGGGGCAGGACTGGAGAAGCACGGGAAAGGACACGACGCATATCAAAAGTAGCGCCAGGAAGACAGCCGTATTGCAATGAATGCCACAGTTGGATCTTTCTGCGCGGGCAGCTGATACACGACCAGTTGCTGAGCGAGCATCGCGCGGGCAGGCCGGGCTCTGGAGATGCATTCGTAGACTTTATATCCCGAGCTTCAGCCGCGGAGGCGGTCTCGAATGCTGTGGGCCTCACCCTACAAGGTGTGGCAGCAGTTCGACAGAGTAAGGTCCCCGCACATCGGAGGCCAACATGTATCGCAAGCTGGTTGGGACGACACCGTACTGACACGTACATGGGGCGCGCTCCAGACAGGGCCTCGCCTGCGGCCCATCCTCGCCTTCGGCGCCAACCAGCGGAAGCAGAACGGTTGCGTTTCCGCCTGCGGCAGGCGGCGGAAGGACACATGAGACGTCGACGTATTTGGATCAGGTTGCTCCGTTGCCGGCTACATGCGCACTTGCATATGTGTATATATATACATATATATATATGTAAATATGTATATATACATACATAGAACGCTGTGGCCAGCGGAATCACTGTTGCCTTCCTCACAACAGTTGCGCCGCGCTGAGAACGAGCATGCCATGTGGCCTCCTCGGCCCACACAGCCGTATAGCCCCACACCCCCGACGTCGCTTCTTTCCTACAACGCTGACCTTCAGAGGTCTGGACCTTTCCTCCTGGACCCGTTTCTCATGTCGTGCTTTGACGGCCCCACTTAAGTGCCCACCGCGCTTGGTAAGTGGTTAGCGGGCTCACCAGTGGACCCTATAGTTACAAGTGCCTTTGAGCATGCTGTAAGTAGGTAGGAATTGGGTTGTAAATGCGGCAGGCGGATACAACAGTTAGCTATTGGTTAGAGGGTGCCTCGCCTGATCTACGTGGCTACTGCGTCTATAACCTTTGGAAGGTGTAGGTGGGCACTTGGCAGGTGGTTGGATGGCTGGCTAGTGCGAGGTTCGCGGGCTGACTAAACCCTTGTTTACAACGTCTGGTATAGCTGACTTAGCTAAGTCGCTCGTAACATATTTAGTGCATGGCTAGTGAGTGGCTGGTAAGAGGTTAGCAGTGGTGTGTAAGTGGCTGGCAAGTGATTCGTAACTGTTTGGTGGGCGGCCTGCAAGCTAGTCAACCCTTGTTAGTAAGCCTGCAATGCCTAAAGTATGCAGTTTCGCTGTGGTGTTCACAATGGCACTGAGAAGGATTTCGCCGAGTTGGACTTGCGAGAAACTTCCCGTCGCGTGTTTTGCTCACGACGCGAGAGGCGCCAGTCCAGCCGCACCTCCAGCCTCAGCGCGTGCGCCTCGGTCGGCCGTGGCACTGCTGGCCGCCTGGCTCCACGGCTGCAGCCTCGGCAGCGCGGCGCTCCGCTTCCGCCGCCTGGCGCACGACCTGCGCGTCCGCCAGCCGCTGCTCCGCCGCCGATGCGCCCCCCCGCGGCCCGCGCCGCGCCGCCGCCGCGCGCACCGCCGGTGGCCCCCGCGGCGGCGCAGGCGCCGCGATCCTCGTCGCGCCTGCCTGGCGGGCCCCGCGGCAGTGGCGCGGGCATCAGCGACTCCGGCGGGGCCCGCGCGGCCCGCTGCGCGGCCGGGGGGGCCGCACTGCTGGCGGGGGCGGCGCCGCGCAGGCGCGCGGCGGCGCGGCGCGGCGGGCGCCGCTCGTCGAGGGAGGGAACACGACTTGGCCATGGCGAAGACCCCAGAGATCCGACGTCTTGAAATTATCAAGACGAAGGTTTTTCTAAATTTTCGGCCTCTCGGGGCCCTCGCCGGGCCCCGGGACCGACAAAAAGCGACTCAGGATGAACAGCTAGTCCTGGGGAATGGGTCGAGACATTGGGGACCCCGTATTGAACAAATCACGACATCGGATCTCTGGGATCCCAGACCCCTGCGGGCGGGACAGGAAGAAATCCCAACAGGAGGTTTCTGGCAGTTTTCGGCCTCTGGGGGCCTTCGCCAGGGCTCGGGACCGTCACGGAAGGATTCATAAGGAAGAAGGGGTCCCAGGGCATATCTCAATTTTTCGCAACGTTGGATCGTAGGTTTGGTCATGCCCAAATTCGGGGGCGCTCAGTCTAGGCCTCCCAGATGGGGTCCGGAGCAGATGGGGTCGGAGGATCGCGCCGCATCTCCGATGCATCGGCGGTGCGGTTCGATGTGAGGCCCGACCTTCTCCACGCCGACGGCGTCGATACATCGCCAACGTCGCCGCGATTCCCCGGCGATCCCGGCCCTTCCCCTCGGGGGCGCTGGGGGGAGCCCTCGCAGGTCGATCTGGTTCGAAAAGAGGCGTAGAGAGATAGGGTCCGGGGCTTAGATTGCGATTTTTCGCGATGTTTCCATTTGTTCGATGTCGGCTCTCAGACCTGGCCACGGCCAAGAATTCGGGGGCGTCTGAGAGAGGGGGGTCTTCCGGAACGTCCCCTGGCGCTTCCTGGGCCGCGCGTGTGCTTCGGGCCATGCTTTGCACACGCACACGCACACGCACACGCACACGCACACACACACGCACACGCACACGCACACGCACACGCACACGCACACACACACACACACACACACGCACACAACACGCACACGCACACGCACACACGCACACACGCACACACGCACACACGCACACACACACACACACGCACACACGCACACACCCACACACCCACGCACGCACGCACGCACGCACGCACCAACACACGCACGCACGCACGCACACGCACACACGCACACACACACACACACACGCACACACACACACACACACACACACACACACACGCACACTCACGCACACACTCACACACACACACACACGCTTCTCTTGGACGCCCCCGGAAGATGTCGCGGGAGCTTGCCGACGCCGATTTTGGCCACGTCGGGGGCAGGATCATGGCCATGAAATTAGAAAGGTTCGCAGCCGCCACCGCGCAGAGTACAGTGGACATTCTGCGGCACACCTTCGCCGAGCGTGAGACGTTCAACAACATGTGCACACTGTGTCTCGGACAAAGGCCTGCATACCTTACTGCGTACACGTGCAGCAGCAATCATGATCCTTGCGGGCCTTCGACGATTCGCGAGAGTAATCCACGAATTGACGATGACAAAGATGAGCGCTACCCACCATCGACACCGATATTTCCGCGTTCAGTCGTGGCCATGGTCATCGTTTTCTTTTTCTCCAGCTCGGGCTCCACGGCCGCGGCCAGGGAGCGAGTCCGCTCCGCGTACGTCCACATCTTGCGCTGCATCCTCGGGCCCAGACATGCTCGCGCCATGGAAAAAACATCGCGACAAAGGCGGGGCCCTGTTTTTGGCTTCCTGAGGGCCTTCGAAAGGCTGCAGGACCGTCAACAAGCGACTTGGCCTGAAAAGCTGGCCTGGAGCAAAGGGTCGGTACATCGGAGACCCCGTATTGAAAACATCCAGACATCGCACGTCCGGACGGGGGCCTTGTCAGGCCGCATCGCGCTGATATCCGCGTCGAAGCGGCGTCGGGTCCACGTCGAATCCGAGTGGAGCCCTGGTCGGATGGAAGGAAGCTTATAGGACAGGCAAGGCCCCCCGATGATGCAGCGCAACACGTCCCCTTCTGCCGACAGCGGTGCCGCTACTGCGACTTCCCCATCGCCGTCCTGAACAGGGACGCGGAGCAGGCCGCCGCGGCGACGAGCCGGTACGTGGACACCGTGGTCCGAGAGATTCAGGTGGGCGACGCAGAAAGACAAGGTCGTTTGCACCGACACTTGAGCGTCAGCTGCCCGCGTAAGGTCGTGCGTGAGCGCCCTCGTCTCCAACGCCGCAAGCCGCGCTGGCGGCCCGCAGAAGGTCGCTACACATGATTCATTTTTTATAATTCGAAAGTTCTTTGATTATATGGGGGCCAAGATCCTTTCATTTCTAATTGTTCTATCCTGGGCCTCTTCCTGGCCACTAGGGGGCCAGGAACGATTAGAAACGAGCACAATTAGACATGAGTACGATTTGAAGTGAACGACGTGTATGCCTTCTCGAATCAGAGCCGTGTCTGATCGTCCCCCAGGTGGGCGGCGCGGGTGCCTTCGACTGGACCGACGGCAGCTGGGAGCCCGCGCCGCTCGACACCGTCTACTTCGGCGGCGGCACGCCGTCGCTGCTGCCCACGGAGGGCTTCCGGAGGATCCTGGAGGCCCTGCAGCAGCGCTTCGGCCTGGCGCCCGGGGCCGAGATCACCGTCGAGTTGGACCCTGGGACGTTCGACGGCGGCAAGGTTCAGCATCCTCTAGCCTCCCCATCCCCACTGGGCCATGATGGTATCTTCCGGTAGCAAATCATGGGGGCCTTGTGTAACCTCGCAAGGCCGTCTTTGGAGCGCATTAGCGTCGATTATAGCGTACCGATTTTGCGTCAACTCAGCGTCGACTCGAAAGCGCCCACAAGATGGTACGGAAGGCTCCCATCCATGAGTTGCCACCGAAGTACTTCTGCCCCGCGAGGCCACCCTCCAGGTCAGGTGGGGAGAGGCCCCGCGAGACCCGAAGGAACCGGCCTCTATCCCTACGTGGGTGGGCAAGTCGGCCAGCGGAGCCAAGGCCGCGCCGGCGGGGCTCTATAGGGATGGGTGCAGCAAAGCTCCAAGGTGAGGGACCTGGCCGCACTCGGCGTCAACCGGGCGAGCATCGGCACGCAGAGCCTGGACGACGGCACGCTGGAGCTGTGCGGCCGCGGCCACACGGGCGAGGAGGCGCTCGCCGCCGTCGCGGCGGTGCTCGCTGCGGGCGTGGCGAACGTGAGCGTCGACTTCCTGAGCGGGGTCCCGGGCCAGTCCGAGGAGGCGCTCCGCCGCGGCCTTCGCCGCGCGGCGGGACTCGGCGTGAGCCACGTCTCGGTCTATGACCTGCAGTACGAGCCGGGCACCCCGTTCGAGCGCCAGTTCCCCGAGGCGGGCGAGGCCGGGAGGCCGTCGGAGGGTGCGGCCGCCGACCTGTACGTGGCCGCGCACGAGGAGCTCGCCGCGGCCGGCTTCGAGCACTACGAGGTGTCCTCCTTCGCCCGCCTGGCGCCGCCGCTGGCGTCTCCGCCGAGCCGCTGCCGCTCGCGGCACAACCTGGGCTACTGGTCTGGCAGGCCCTACGCCGCGTTCGGGAACGGAGCCGCCTCCTTTGTCCGCGGCGTGCGGAGCTCGCGGCCGCGCGGGGTGGACGAGTACTGCTCCTGGGTGCGGCAGGGCGGCCCAGAGGCGCAGCTGGCGGACGTGGACACGTCCCCGCGCGACGACCCCCGCGGCCCGCTGTACGAGGCGCTCATGCTGGGGCTCCGCACCTCCGACGGCGTCGCCCTCTCCGCCGGGGGCTCCGCCGCCGGCTCCGCCGCCGGCCCTGCCGCGTGGCCGGCCCTGGAGCCGCTGCGGCTGCACGGCGACCTCGCCGGCTGCCTCGCCGCGGCCGCCCGCGCGCTGCAGCCCTGGGCCGAGTCCGGGCACGCGGAGGTGGACGTGCGGCACCCCGGCGGCGACGCGGGAGGCGCCGTGGAGCTCCGCGCCCGCCTGCTGCCGCCCCACGGGTTCCTCGTGTCCAACAGCTCGGTATCGTTTAACCAATCCCTGTCCCCATACCCATCCCCTTTGAGACCCCCACCAGATTACCACCCCAGTTGGGGATACACCCCTCGAAACCCGAAGGGAACGACCTATATCCCCATCCAGGATCCAGGGGGGTAAATCGGCCAGTGGGGCCCAGGCCACGCCGCTGGGGATGGGGATCGGTCAAACGATACTCAACAGCGCGCTGTCGGACGTCTTCGCGGCCGCGCTGGCAGCGCCCTGAGGCTGCGGGGCCCGGCGCTGCACGGGCGCTGCGCTGCCGCTCGGCGCGGCTGGGCCGACGGAGAGCGTCACCGCAGCGTCGAGGGGGCGGCGCAGAAAAGCAGGTGGTCGCTTCGCTGTGGCCTTGCATGCTGCAGGGCTGGCCGTGCCCCTGCACGCCACGCGCGCCTGGTTTACGGTGCCTCTGCTCAGGGTCGATCGTCCGTGGCCCGACTTCCGCGTTCATGTGTCGATCGCATCTTCTTCTGGCACAGCGACTTCACGCCCTCAGAGCATCATTGCATTAGAACGCTCTTGTAGGTCTCAGGAGCATCCCGAATGAGGCCTACAAGCAGTCTGGCTGAACTGGTCGGTCATTGTTGAGCTTCCAGTGCCCCACCTGCTCCCTCACTCTCCGTTGTCGTCGTCGTCGCGGTCGTCGTCGTCCGTCGTCCGTCGTCGTCGTCGTCGTCGTCGTCGTCGTCGTCGTCGTCGTCGTCGTCGTCGTCGTCGTCGTCGTCGTCGTCGTGGTCGTCGTTGTCGTCATCCGTCGCCGTCCGTAATCGTCTTTCGTCGGCTGTCGTCGCCGGCGCCCTCGCAGAGTCGAGCCATCGATAGGCCTGGCATGCCTACCGCCACGGGTCGCCGCCGACCAGCTTGGAACGCGACTCGAAGAAGCGGGCAAGCGATCGAGAAGTTTACGCAATCCGCCCAGAAAGTGGAACTGGCGAACGAGAAGGCGTGGCTTGCCTTCCTGGCGCGCTGTCCTTGCGAGTGGACCTGCTGACTGCCTGCACGCATGCTGCCTGGCATTCATGAGCGCTGGCGCCCGTCAATCCTGTGTTCATTCGGGGATGGCTGAGCTCACATCCGAACCTGAGCACGGTAGGGGCGTTCGCTAAGGAACGTTACCAGGAGGCTTCTGCCGCTGGAGGGTTCCTCTCATATAATGAGGACGGCGGTGAGATTCATGGGCGATCCACGGTCGGAGTTCCACTAGGCACGACGACGGGTGACGACGGACCCAGAGGGTAGCACTTCCCCATCTCCTCCCCGTCCTCCCCGTCCTCCCTCCTCCCTCCCTCCTCCCTCCTCCCTCCTCCTCCCTTCTCCAAAGAGCTGTCTCCTCCTGCTCCTCCTCCCCCCCGAACTTGCCTGACAGGCCTCCCCCTCCGCGAACCTCCCAGGGGAAGCGAGGGCGCCACTTGCTCAGGGCCCTGGGAGCCAGGACACTGCAGGCCAGGAGCTCCCATACCAGCTCTGGCTGGGGACAACGAGGAGTGGGGAGTGCTTCGAGCTCGTGTACGTTTAAGTCGGGCGTCTTCCTCTACAGGGGGACTATTCAAAAATAGTCAAAAATATTATGATGGGGAGGATTTGTTGATTTAATGTTTGATCATTTTGGTGCATTGTTTGACTATTTTTCATTTCTCGTCCGAAATCCCTCTGTATGGGGACATGCCCGACCTAAGTGCACGTCTAGGTGGCAGAGACGGCCTTCCCCCGAGGAGGCTGCCCTGCGGAGAGCGCCTTCTGGGCCCCGGCTGACGCACCGAGTCGACGAGCCGAGTCGGCGCACCGAGTCGACGCAGGCGATGTTGTTCGGCGCACCGAGTTGACGCGCCGAGAGGGGGGGGAGGAGGGAGGAGGGACGAGGAGGAATAGGCGGATGAGGAAGAGTAAGAGGAGGAGCCAGAGGAGGAAGAGGCGGAGAAGGAGGAGGAGGAGGAGGAGGAGGAAGAGGGGAGGAGGAGGAGGAGGAGGAGGAGGAGGAGGAGGGCCCTGAGGCCCGACGGCGCGAACACTGAGACATCGCGCGAGTCACCACGGGGGACCTCGACCCGATCTCTCTGCGTCATTTTTCGAGCCGGATCGATCTGCGGAGTCCCCAGAGTCGGGTGTCCTGCACGGGGTTTCGGTGTCGTGTGTGGGGTGGTCTCCACTGCCCGTCAGTCCGTATTTTCAGTCACGCAATGGATGATGCTTAGATGCACGTTGCTCTCTTGCTGCCGTAAGAAAGAATTGCCCTGATCTGGGATGTGGAGGAGCATGCAGTGGAATATGGGATTGGGAGGCCTTCATACCCCAGGTACCCAAAGAGGGGAAGGATGGAGGAGGGATCGGAGGAAGAGGAGGAGGAGGAGGAGGAGGAGGGAGGAGGGAGGAGGAGGAGGAGGAGGAGGAGGAGGAGGAGAGAGAGGAGGAGGAGGAGGAGGAGGAGGAGGAGGAGGAGGAGGAGGAGAGGGAGATGGGGAGGGGGAAGGGGTGGGGAGAGGGAGGAGGGACGAGGAGGAGGAGGCGGATAAGGAAGAGAGGAGTAGGAGGAGGAGCCGGAGGAGGAGGAGGAGGAGGAGGAGGAGGAGGAGGAGGAGGAGGAGGAGGAGGAGGAGGAAGGCGAGCAAAAAGGCCAGAGGCCTCTCGGATTCCTCTCGGGGTCTCTTAGGGTGTCTCTGGAAAGTGTTTTGGGAGGTCTCTTGCGGCGTCTCAGGGGCCTCTCGGCGGTCCTGGGGGCCTCTTTATGCGTGTTGGTAGCCTCGGGGAAGCCCCTTGGGGCCTCTTGGGGGTCTTTTGGGAGGCTCTTGGGGACCTCTTGGAGGCCTCTTGGGGCCTCATGGGCGCCTCTTGGGGCCCTCTTGGAGCAGTCTTGGAAGCCTCGGGGGTCATATTGGGGCCATCTTGGAGGAGCTCGATCAAAGAAGGAGGGGGGGCTCAATTAGCCCCCCCCCTCCCCCTTAGGAGGCCCAAATGTGCCCAACACCTTAGCAAAATAAATGGTACGTAGCACCCCGCAATTGCGGATAACAGTGAGGGGGCGGGCGCGGGCGACGCGGGCGTCGTCGAGGCGGCGGACCTCGTGGCCCCCACCTTCCCTGTCGATGGCGTTCTCCTCCTCCTCCTCCTCCTCCTCTTCCTCGTCCTCGTCCTCATCGTCATTGTCATCCTCCTCCTCCACCTCGTCCTCCTCCTCTTCTTCCTCGTCCTCCCTCTCCCCCCATCGTCCTTTCATCATCGTCCTCCCATTGCCGTCCTCCCCCTCATCGGCCTCCATCATCGTCCTCCCATTGTCGTCCATCACCATCATCCTCCCCCTCCTCCCCCTCCTCGTCCTCCTCCTCCCCCTCCTCCCCCTCCTCGACCTCCTGCTCCTCCCCCTTTTCTTTCTCCACATAATCCTTCCATCCTCTCTTCTTCCGCGTTCTCCTTGTCCCCTGTTTACTCCTCCTGCCTCCCCCTCCTTCCCCAAGATAACTGCAACGCAATCCTTTTTTCCACTTTATGCTCCCCGCCTTCTCTGATCAAGGCAACTCGCCAGGGCAGAGTTGCTGGACGGGCTGGTGTGGATGCGCGGGGCTTGGAGAGGTCTTTGCGGGCTCAGACGGCATGCAAAAATCCGCCGCCGCGCTTGTGCGGCATTGGTTTGTTCAGTGAACGTGGTTTAGGTCGCGGGTGGGTCGCGGGCTCTCCACCTCCACCTGGCAGGAATGCAAAAGCAGCCCGCCGCAGGCGCCAAAAAAAATGTTTGTACACTGAACGTGGTTTGGGTCGCGGGTCGGCCGCGGGCTCTCCACCGGGAACGAATGCAAAAGATGCCCGCCGCAGCGCCGCAGGCGACGAAACATGTGGTTTGTACACTGAATGTGGTCGCGGGTGGGCCGCGGGCTCTCCACCTGAAACGAATGCAAAAGATGCCCGCCGCAGGCGCCGAAACATGTGATGTGTACCCTGAACGTGGTTTGGGTCGCGGGTTGGTCGCGAGTTGGTCACGGGGTGGGTCGCGGGCTCTCAACATGGTGGTTTGTACCTTGAACGTGGTTTGGGTCGCGGGTGGGTCGCGGGTGGGTCGCGGGGTAGGTTGCGGGTGGGTCGCGCGTGGGTCGCGGGTGGGTCGCGGGTGGGTCGCGGGTGGGTCGCGGGGTGGGCCGCGGGCGGGTCGCGGCCTGGGTCGCGGCCTGGGTCGCGGCCTGGGTCGCGGCCTGGGTCGCGGCCTGGGTCGCGGGGTGGGTCGCGGGGTGGGTCGCGGGGTGGGTCGCGGGTGGGTCGCGGGGCGGGTCGCGGGGTGGGTCGCGGGTGGGTCGCGGGGCGGGTTGCGGGTGGGACGACGACAACAAACAACAACAACAAACAACAACAAACCACAACAACAACAACAACAACAACAACAACAACAACAACAACAACGAGAATCCGCACCGCGGAATTCCACTTCAGCCACGCACCCAGGGACAGTGAATGACCGTTCGGCCCCCTCACTCTGACTTGCCTTCTCGCCCGAGGCCGCCTCGGACGCTCCTATCGGTCGCGACCCCCCCTATCCAGGTCCAGCGGAAGGGTCAGGGGGAGGTGAAACGCCCTCCCCGAAGGGCCAGCATGGGGGGCTGGAAGCGGAAGCCGGTTAAACCACTAACTCCCCAAAGGGCTGGTGGCATTGAGACGCCAGGATCTCACGGCAGGAACGGCTGCTTCGGCGGCCCGCCGAGCCCAGTTGGCGAACTTCCGCGCTCGCCGGAGTAGTGCATCGCGCCGCGGGGGTGCGCGCCCTTCTGCTTCGTCCTCGGGCACCGGCCCTGCCCTTCGGCGTCCTCGTCGAAGAGGTGCGAAGCAGAAAACAGCTTGCTTGGACATCCATATCGTATGGGCGACGCAGAAAGGAGCCACCTTCACCAGCATTGGCGCGTAAGCCGCCCGAGCAAGATCGCGCATACGCGCCCTCGTCTCCAGTGCAGCGTGCCGCGCTGGCGGCCCGCGTAGGCCACCGCGCAAGGTCGCTATGTCATCTCGCGTTGGACCCGTTACGTTTCGTCTCTCATATGTTTTCTGTGTCGTGGTCCTGCTCACGTCCCGTCTCTCCCTCGTCGCACATGCCGCGTCGTGATCAGTTCTGTGCACCCCGCGAGGCAGGCCCTCGAGGCCACTGCTCTGACTAACCTCTGGTGGAGCGGCGGAAAGACAGAGGAGCCAAAAACCAGGAGTAGAAACACACAAACACAATCAGGGCTCCGCGCGAGTTTCTTGGCTCGGCGCCTGGACCCCTCTGGCGGCGCCTCCAGCGCGGACCTCCGACAGTTCCTGTTTATGGAATCGTTGTCAGGAAAGCCGCGCCAGGAAGCCGCGTCGTCGTCCTCCTCCTCTTCCTCCTCCTCCTCCTCCTCCTCCTCCTCCTCCTCCTCCTCCCCCTCCTCCTCCCCCTCCTCCTCCTCCTGTCCAAGGTGCCGAAAAACCGCGCCAGGAAGCAAGCCGGCCTTCAGAGAACGGGTCCTGGAGGTCTCTGGGGAATTTGCGAGCCCTGGGCCGGAGCCTCCGGGCTCGCCTAGGAGAGGGCCGCGCAGCGCGGGGCGCGCACTGTCTGCTCTCCCGCGGCGCCGTCCTGCCCTCCTGCGCCCTCGTCGCAGAGGGGCAGAACGGCTGCGTCGGGAACCTGGGCTCTGGGCCTGGGTCCGAGTGGACGGCGTCGGTCGCTGTTGTGCTCGCCCTGAGTTCGGATCTTGAGCGCTCGCTGTCTCTAGTCGCCCCGTCCCCTCCTCCCCCTGGTCCTCGTTCGGTGTCCGCCTCCATCTTCTCCCCCCTAAATTACACGCGTGGGTGGGGTCGGAGCACCGCGCCGCGTCACCGATGCATCGGCGATGCGGCTCGACGTGGAGCTCGATTTCCTCCACGCCGATGTCGCCGACGCATCGCCGACGTCGGCGATGCATCGCCGATGTGTCGACGAGGTGGCGCGATGTTTGGCTCTCCCCACTCGGAGGCCATCTGGGAGGCCTCTACTGATGCAAGCGGGTCACGGGGAGGCGGGTCCTGGAGGCTTTCTCGCGGTCTTCGAGCGCCGTGTGGGGGGGGGGGGCCCTCCACAGGCCCTGCAGGGCCGTCGAGAAGCGGCTCGGGTGGAAGAGCTGGCCCTGGGGGGAGGCCGCGGGGTCCAGGGCCCGTTTCCTTCCGTCCACGTCTTCTTAGTTGCCTCGATACGCATTTTTTGAAACGCAACACGTCCCGTGTTCAAGACGTCCGTGTCAATACGTTGCGCGCTGGCTCCACGTATTGGACCACGTTTTGGCGAATGTATCGCGTCGGACCTACGTTTTCAGCCCACGTGCTGAGCTCCGTATCCATACGATGCGTGCTGCGTGTTGCGTATCGGGGCAGCTGAGGCCTTCTTCACTCCGAGGAGCGGCCGAGGCCACCGCCACCGAGGGCCCCTCGGGGGTGGCCGACCTCTGGGAGGTGGCACGCCCGTGCCGCCGCGCAGTGCCCGGACGAGCCTCGGGCGTGCCACCGCCCAGGGGCGGGTCCCCACCCGATGGGTTCCCGGTGGCGGCGGTCGCTGTTCCTCCTCTTCTTGGTAGTCCCCAAACGTGGTGGTGACAACACCTGGCGGTGAGTCTCGGGCGATTTGGTGTCACCACCCTGTTTGGGGACTCGTGCGGTTTTCCGAGGATGTCCCGAGCACTGGTGGGTCCAGGAGTCACAAAACCCGGTGGTGACCCCGTGTCCCCAAACCCAGCGGTGACCTTTTTGGGGATTCCAGGTCGCCACCTGGTATCTCACCACCCGGTTTGGGGGTTCCTCCTCTTCGGAAGCTGGGGCACATACACTACCAGGGGCGGGCAGTTCTTCAATCCCAGGACTTTTTTGAATGTCGGGGACGACGTCGGGGTGGTGTGGCGTATACTGCTTCCCCCGTTTTCCCGGGGCAGCAACGAAGAATGTATACACCAGGATCCCGTATACACCAGGATCCGCGTCCCGGTGCGAGATTCAGTGTGAGGCCATAAAAAGGCGTCGGTGTATAGAGTTCGGTTCCCTACCTCTGGCTCGTGCCAAGCAGCTGGGTCTCTGTTCTGAGGCGCGCGTCTGCGGTGCTTGCACGGCCGCGTGAGGCGGTGGTCGCTCGTGTTAGGTCGGGCATGTCCTGCTACAGGCGGGTTTGGGGCGAAAACTGACACATAGTCTAAAATATCAAAGACATAGTTCAAAGAGAGAGAGAGAGAGAGATAAAGAAAAAAACACATTCCCCGACTAGTTTTGAACTATGTTTGAATATTCCTCCTGCAGCGTCGCGCGCGCAGCAGGCGCGATCCCGGCTGGGCGCAGCCGAGGGCCAGTGCCAGAGGCTGGCCGCCGAGCAGCAGGCGACCGAGGAGCAGGAGCCGCTCCACGCACGAGCGCGGCGATGTGTGGGACAAAAACAGCACGTTGTGTGTCTTGTCGCGTGCTGTGTACGGTAGTTGTGCCGTGATGCAGCTGGGGCATTTGATTCGGACTTGCGTGTACACATCTACGTATGTGTATATTTACACGCATGCATGCATACACATACATACATCCATATATACATACATACATACATACATACATACATACAGACAGACAGACAGACAGGCAGACAGACAGACAGGCATACATACATACATCCATACGTACAGTCATACATACATACATCCAGCCATGCATACATACATATAGACATACCGACATAGCGACATAGAGGCATATAGACATACATACATACATACATACATACATACATGCATGCATACCTACCTACCTACCTACCTACCTACATACATACATACATATATACATGCAAACATACATACATATATACATACACGCACATATATATATATACATACCGACATACATGCATACCTACCTACCTACCTACCTACCTATCCACCTACATACATACATACATACATACATACATACATACACACACATACATACATACATACATACTTACTTACTTACTTACATACTTACATACGTACACACATACATACATACATACATACACACATGCATGCATGCATGCATGCATGCATACATACATACATACATACATACATACATGCATACATACATACATACATACTACATACATACTACATACATTACGTACACACATGCATGCATGCATACATACACATATACATATAGACAAACATGTGTGTATATATATATATGTTGCGAAGACCTTCCGGCCGGTGCCGCCGACCCTGAAGACGATAAAGTGAAAACGAGGGGGAGGAGGAGCAAGAGAAGGAAGCAGAGGAGGTGCACGAGAAGGGGGAGCAAGGGGGGGGAAGAGGAGGGGGGCGTCTTGGGGCTTCTTGGGGCTTTTTGGGGGCTTCTTGGTGGCTTCTTGGGGCCTCTTGTGGGCCTCTTGGGGGTCCTCGGGTGTTTCTTGGGGACTTCTTGGCGCCCAGAGCGTCATGGGTGCCTCTTGGAGCGGACGTGACGATCTCGTGGGCAGGGAATCCCCCGAAGGGAGCCGCCCGAGACCCCCCACCTCCCCCCCGGGCATCCGGGTGGGACCCTCCCCCCCCCGGGAGGAAGGGATAAAAGGGAAGGGGCTTCCCTTCAAGAAACACACCGGCGTTGCTCAGATTAGCTTCCCCTCCGCGTCGCGGCCGCTCCGAAGTGAGCCGCCAGGGCTCTCCCCCCTCCCCCGGGTATACGGGTGGGGTGGGACCCCTCCCCCCCCTGGGGGAAGGGATAAAAGGGAAGGGGCTTCCCTTCGAGTAAGCTGCGACGTTGCTCAGATTGGCTACCCCCCGCGTCGCGGCGGCCGCTCCCCTCCCCCGAAGGGAGCCGCCCGGGGAGGAGGCGTATCGGGAAGGACCCCCCCCCACCCCCCACCCCAGGTACCCTGGTGGGACCCCCCCCTACATCCCCCCCCCAGGGGGGGGGAGAGATAAAAGGGCAGGGGCTCCCCTTCGAGTAAGCTACGACGTTGCTCAGATTGGCTTCCCCCCCCGTGTCGCGGCCGCTCCCCTCGCCCGGGGGGAGCAGATTGGCTTCCCTCCCCGGGTCGCGGCCGCTCCCCTCGCCCGGGGGGAGCCGACCTTTCCCCCTCTTGGAGCCGACGTGGCGGTGTCGTGGGCAGCCCCCCTCCCCCGAGGGGAGCCGACCACCCCTCTTGGAGCCGACGTGACAATCTCGTGGGCAGTGTGGGCGACGACGACAACGACGACGACGAGGACCCACGCAAGATGACGAGACCAGGATACGTCTTCCACCCCCCGACAGGTTCGGCGGATTTATGGGCGTGGGTAGCGCAAGCATACAGCATTTGGCAGGTGAAGAATTGCCACTTGGGCATTGGTGGCCGTGGTGCCTCCATCTGCTCGACCGTTGTCGTCTTCCACTCGTCGCATCGGTTCGTCGAAGTCGGATGGTGGTCAGTGGAATATCTGTTGGGTATATGCTAGTAGGGGGGGCTGCCAGTTGAGCCTACTGATGTCGTGTAATTGTTGATGGTTGCCGCCTCCGTGGTCCGCGGAAGATTTGCCTCCACTCACTTTTCCTCTCGGAGTCCGTCTGTTCATTGATGCAGTGTTCGGAGATGAGTTGCCAGATGCGTTCGTAGAGTAGGCGGCCGGGTGGGAAGTCAGCCTGGTCAACTGGATTAGGGATCTGGTGTTCGGATTGAAGTCTTGTTGGGTGTAGGATGAGTGGTCCCGTTGGTGTCAGTATTCCGATCTTGCCTTCAACGTGTTCCCCAATGCGCACTTGCTCGGAAGGGGTCCGAGCGGATACTGACAGAGTAGGTCGAGATATCCCGCTGGTTTCGGTGGGCGGCCAGGTTCCCAGGCTCCTGGTTCTGAGTGCACGGGAGGCCAGGTCCGCGTTCCGGGGTTCATTTCGGTGGGCGGCTAGGTTCCCGGGTTTGGGGCTCTTGGTTTCGAACCGATTTCGGTGGGTGGCCAGATTCCACGGCTTCCAGTTCCGAGTCAGTCTGGGGTCTTCCGGCACGGAGACCGAGTCAGCAGGGATACACAGCCATGCATACAGAAAGAATGTGTGAAAGAGAGAGAGAGAGAGAGAGCGTGTGTGTGTGTGTGCGCGTGAGGGAGAGATGCAAATGTGTATATCGAAGACGCCTACGGCGAATCACCGCCGCCCCCTGCCTTTGTGGAAGCGCCTATGTGGCCGAACGTTGAGGCCAGACCTGCCAAGCCATCGGACCATGTGTTCCCCGAATCGGTTTGGAAAGCCTTCGGGGAACACGTGGGCGTCTTGATGGTCATCGTCGCCGTCTTGGAGGCCTCTTGGGCGATCTTTCGGCGATCTTTGGGGGCTCTTGGGCCGTCTCGGGCCGTCGGAAGGCCGAAAAAAGGGAAATGCCCAAATCCATCAAAAACCTTGGGAAAATCAGTGATTTTGGCATCTTTTGGCCTTCCTGGAGGCCCTCTTGGGGGCCTCTTGGGCCCTTTTGGGCCAGCTTCGAGCCAACTTCGGCCATCTTGGTGGGTTCCTGGCACGTCTGACGCCGTCGGGAGCCGTTTTGGGGGCCTTTCTGGGCCAACGGGGGACCCTCTTGGGGCGCTCCAGGGCCGTCTTGGAGGCCATCTTGGGCGTCTTGGAGGCCATCTTGGGCGTGTTGGAGGCCTCTTGGGCCGTCTTGGGGCCCTCTAGGGGCCATCTTGGAGGCCACTTGGGCCATCAGGGGGCTCTCTTGGGGGCCTCTTGGGCGATCTTGGGGGCTTCTTGGGCCGTCTTGAGCCGTCGGAGAGCCGAAAAGGCGCAAATGCCAAAATCCTTCAAAAACCAATGGAAAATCAATGATTTTGGCCTCTTCGGACTCTCCTGGAGGACCTCTTGGAGGCCTCTTGGGCCGTCTGGGAGGCCTCTGGGGGGCCTCTTGGGCCGTCTTGGGCCGTCTTGGACTCTCTTGGGCCGTTTTGGAGGCCGTCTTGGACCATCTCGGGCGGACTTGGAGGCCATCTTGGGCCATCTTCGCGATTTTTTGAGGATGTCCCGAGCGAAACGGCCGTTTTTGGAGGATTTTTTCCGGTCGTTGAGCACCCTTCCGGGTGGCCGGCGGGTTCTGCCGGAGCCCACTGGGGAGTTCTTTTGGGAAAAGAACCAAAACCAAAACCTGAAACATCCAGCACGCCGTGCACCCCTGCAAGCAGGGGGCGGCGGATCTAATGGCTTTCGACCCATCCCGCCACCGTGCTTTGGTTGTGGGTCGAAGTTCTCAGGGATGCTTGTTGGGCTCTCTTCGGAGCGCTCTCGGGGGCATCTTGGGGGCAGTTCTCGGACCTCCCTCTTGGAGGCCCGTTTAGGAGCCTCTTGGGGCCACTTGGAGGGCCTCTTGGGGGCCTCTTGGGCCCCTCTTGCAGCCGTCTGTGGGGCATCTTGGGCCGTCTTGGGCGCCTCTTGGGCCATCTCGGGGCCCTCTTGGGCCGTTTTGGGGCCCTGTGGGAGGCCTCTTGGCGCCGTCTTGGGGCGATCTTGGGAGCCTCTAGGCCCGTCTGGGAGCGTCGAGAAGCCGAAAAGACAAGAACGCCAAAAACCTCCAAGCACGTTCTTGGAAAACCAATGATTTGGGCCTCTTGGGGCCCTCTTCGGAAGACTCTTGGACGCCTCTTGGGTCGTCGTGGAGGCCTCTTGGGCCGTTTGTCTGGGCTGAGGGGAGGAGGCAGGAGCCCTCTCGGGACGCCCGGGCCCCGGGCAGCCCCCGAGGAGAGCGCCTGCCGCCGCCGCGAGTGGACCTTAGTTTGACCAGCCCCCCGAGGAGACGCTGGCTGATCAGCCCCTCTCAGGGGCCATGGCCCCTGGGGAGGAGCACGGCAGCGATCGGCCACGAACACCCATGTCTGGGCTTCCCAGCTGGGGCCCGAGGAACCAGATGGGGTCGGAGGATCGCGCCGCGCGCCGACGTCGCCGGTGGCTCGCCGGCAGCGGCAGCGGCGGCCCCATGCGCGGCGCTCTCGGGCCCCCCCGGGCAGCCCCCGAGGAGGCCGCCGGCCGCCGCCGCGGGGAGGAGCTGGAGGAGCAGCTGCTCGGCCGCCGGCAGGCGGCGCAGACGGCCGAGCGGTGGGGCCAGGAGCTCGCCAGGCGGCTGGAGGCGCGGCCCGCAGATCCGGTAGGATCAGCACGGGCACAGGAGGCATGAAGCACAGTTCGAGGAAGAAAACAAGCCGCGTAAACATGTAAGCTTTTGGCGCTCCGCGCGGACTTCTTGGATCCGTGCCCGGGCCCCGCGGCGGCGCCTCCGGCGCCGCCCCTGGCGCGCTCCGCCAGGGAGGCGGCTTCAGCGCGAATCCAAGAAATCCGCGCGAAGCGCCAAACATTTACAGGCGGCCCAGATTAGTAGGTCGACCCTGCCAGATGAAGGGTACCTTTGTGTCCTGTGTCTCGCGACCCATGCTTCGAACATTCCTGTGGCGATGTGGCCCTCGAAAGGGTCTGATGTCCTCTCGCGTGTCCTCTCCAATCAAGTCCGACTGTATGTTTACGTGGTTTTTCTTTTTCTAATAGTGCAACCCCTAGCCGCAATGACCAGGAAGTCGTGGCCCCACGCAGGGCGGCGCTCGGCCGCGCGCGGGCCGCTCGATTCGGGGCCCTCTCCTCGGTTCCCGAGGGCCCCGGGGCACACGCAGGATTGGGAGCAGGTGGAGCAGAGGCCAACGATAGGGGGGGATAGGCAGAGGAGGATGCATCGCCCCCCAATCGCCCATTGATCGCCGATAGGGGCCCGATGGCCCCAGCCTGCCCCGGAAGGTGCGGATTCACTCTCAAGGGCCTATCGCCGATCTATCGGCGATGTCTCGCCGATCCCAGGTCGATACATCCCCCCCTATGCCAGTCCCCCCCGATCGTTGCCCCTCAGTGGGGCAGAAGGGGTGCATTATCCCAGTGCGACCCTACCTAGGAGTTGGAGCCCCTAGGAAAGCAGCATTCGTAGTACCAGTAAAGCTAAGCTAAAGCTAAGATAAGGCTAAGCTAAAGCTAAGCTAAAGCTAAAGTAAAGCTAAGATAAAGCAAAGCTAAGCTAAGCTAAAGCGAAGCTAAATCGGAGCTAACTCTAAGCTAAAGCTAAGTTAAAGCTAAGCTAAAGCTAAGCTAAAGCTAAGCTAAGCTAAAGCTAAGCTAAAGCTAAGCTAAAGCTAAGCTGAAGCTAAGCTAAGCTAACCATAAGCTAACTTTAAGCTAAAGCTAAGCTAACTCTAATCTAAATATAAGCTAAAGCTAAGCTACAGCGAAGATAAAGCTAAGATAAAACGAAACTAAAGCGAAGCTAAAGCTAAGCTAAAGCGAAGCTAACTCTAAGCTAAAGTCAAGCTAAAGCTAAGCTAAAGCTGAGCTAAAGCTAAGCTAAAGCTAAAGCTAAGCTAAAGCTAAAGCTAAAGCTAAAGCTCCCAGGGGACTGGGGGGAACCGCTCCCAGGGGACTGGGGGAACCGCCCGGGGCGCTTTGCACTGCCCGGCCCCTTTAAGCTAAGAGAGTAAGAACCCTTCTAGGCAGAGCCTAGGTAGGGAAAAGGGAGGAGCAGGAGCATGAAAACCAGGAGGGGAAAAAAAAAACCAGGCACAATTAATCGTCGATTCCCCCGAACATATGGGAAAATATGGGAAGTGGGAGGGAAGACAAAAACCCAGAAAACATGTGAAAATATTGGGAATCCTGTCGTTGAAGTGAATCAGTGTGTGTGTATGTGTGTGTGTGTGTGTGTGTGTGTGTATGTGTGTGTGTGTGTGTGTGTGTGTGTGTGTGTGTGTGTGTGTGTGTTTGTGTGTGTGTGTGTGTCCCAGGGCCCTTTCAGAAAAGGAGAGGGCGCCCTCTCGTCCTCTTTCCGCTGCAACTTCTGCCCCCCCCCCCTCTCTCGGCGTGGCGGCCCCCCTTTCCGACCTGGGACACGGGACAAGACTCGGCCAGGCGAGATTCTTGGCATCGCTCGGACAGGTGCATTTTTCCTCGACGAGAACCCTCGAGGACCATCCTGGACCATCGAGCAAAAAAACATGCACGAAACCGAAAGATGCACTGGAAATGGACGTCCGAGCGACGGCAAGAACTCGGCCAAGCTGAATTCGGCCAGGCTGAACTCGGCCCGTGCCGAATTCGGCTGGGCCGAGTTCAGCCTTGCCGAGATCAGCTGACCGAGCTCAGCCTGGCCGAGTTCAGCTGGCCGAGTTCAGCCGGCCGAAGTCACCTAGCTGAGTGGTTTCTTGACGGCCTTGAGGCCCCGGTGGGGGCCCCCGGAGGCTGAGAACACCGAAACACCGACACGTCGCTACGCCTTCGGGACTCGAGGGAGGGATTTTCCGCCCAGCCCCCCCCCCCCCCGCGCGGCAGGCGCAAGAGCAGGCCAGCGGCTCCCCGCGCGCCCTCGAGCAGCGCTGCCTCGCGCTGCAGGCGGAGGCCGAGGCCCTCGAGCAGGAGAAGAGGCGCCCATGCTGCGAGGGGGGCGGCGGCGCGCAGAGCCTTCCCGGCAGGGCCCAGGGGGAAGGGGGGGGAGGGGGGGTGGTCGGCGGCCGGGGCGGCCAACAGTCAGAGCGTGAATTACCTACCCCGCTTTCGCTTCCAGGCAAAACCAAGTCATACCACGCGCCTCCTCGTCAAGCGGCCTGACCAGTACAGCCCGTAGTTTGGCATCGCTTGGTATCTCTTGGAAGCGAGGGTGGTCAAAAGCGAGGTAGGTTTGGTTTCCCCCTAAAGAGGGGGACCCAGACCCCCTGTCACGAACAGAACGCGACGGGAGTGGTTTGCTCTGGGCGAGCCGCGGGGCGAAGGCTCGTAGCGTCAGGATCGGAAGTGTTTCGCTATGTTCGGCCTCTGGGTGGCCTCACCAGGCCCTGGGGCCGTCCAACAGTTGCCAGGAGGAAGAACCGGCCCCAGGAGACGAGTCGAGACACCTGGGGGGTCGACGTCCATGAAACAATCATGACGTGTGGGGCCTGGGGGATGAGCAGGGTGGATGCTGTGGCATGGGCCATGGTATGTCCCAAGATGTCATGGTGCCTTTTCTCATGTCGATACGTCCCCAGGACCCAGGCTGCCCCCCCGTCAGGAAAGGGGAAGCAGCTCTGACACAAAGAAGCGTCAATGCCCGCGAAAAGTATGGGAATTCGAGGGGGAAACGGAAATCCAAACGAAGCTGAGCACAACATCCTGGAATACCCTACCTAGGCTCTGCCTAGAAGGGTTCTTCCTGTATAAGCTTAAAGGGCCGGGCAGTGGACCACGCCCGGGGCGGTTCCCTCGGCATCCGCCCCGCGGTTCCCCCCCAGTGACGTTCCCTTAGCTTAGCGTTGCTTATCCCATTTTAGCTGAGCTTATGTCATCTTAGCTTAGCTTAGCTTCATGTTAGCTCAGGTTTATCTTAGCATAGCTTACCTTCATATTAGCTTCGCTGAGCTTTAGCATAGCAGAGCACAGCATAGCATAGCATAGCGTAGCATAGCATAGCGCAGCACAGCACATCATAGCATATCCCAGCATAGCATAGCATAGCGCAGCATAGCATAGCATAGCATAGCATAGCATCGCATAGCATAGCATAGCGCAACACAGCACAGCACAGCACAGAGCAGCATAGCATAGCATAGCAGAGCATATAATAACAGCAAAGCAAATTAAGATCAACAGCAGCGACAGCAAAGCAAAGCACAAGCAACGCAAGTCAAAGCAAAGCAAACGTAAAAGCAAAGCACAGGAAAGGCAGAGCAAAAGCAATGTGCGACAGATGCCGAGCTTAGCTTAGCTTAGCTTATAGCATAGCGCAGCGCTGCATTAGCATAGCATAGCATAGCATACCATAGCCAAGCATAGCATAGCATAGCACAGCGCAGCATAGCATAGCATAGCATTGCATAGCATAGCATAGCGCAGCTTAGTACATCATAGCATAGCATAGCATAGCTTAGCATAGCACAGCGCAACATTACATATCATAGCATATCATAGCATAACATACTATAGCGCAGCAACCATAGCATAGCATAGCATAGCATAGCATAGCATAGCATAGCTCAGCATAGCATGGCATAGCATAGCATAGCATAGCAACTGATGCTGGTTTCCTAGGGGCTCCAAGTTCTAGGTAGGGTCACACTGGGGTAATGTGTATCTATGTGTTTGTGTTTCCGTGTGCCCATTTACCCTGGGCCGCGCACGTGCCGCGGGCCATGATTTGCGCCCCATGGGATCGCTCCCCCGTCCTCCCTGTGGTCGTGGCCCTGCGGGCGTGGCGTGGTGGAGGGTGCTGGTGCTCCCCCGCCCCTTGTGGGTGTGGGGTGGTTTGTCGTCGTCGTTGTCGTCGTTGTCGTCGTCATCGTCGTCTTCGTCGTCGTCGTCGTCTTCTATTGGCGTCGGCGTCAGCGTCGGCGTCGTCGTCGTCGCCGTCGTCGTCAAAGTCGGCGTCAGCGTCGGCGTCGGTGTCTGCGTCGGCGTCGTCGCCGTCGCTGTCGTCGTCGTCGTTGCCGCCGTCGTCGTCGTCGGCGTCAGCGTCGTCGTCGTCGCCGTCGCTGCCGTCGTCGTCGTTGCCGCCGTCGTCGTCGTCGTCGTCGCCGCCGCCGTCCCCCCCCATCCCATCTGCGGGGGTCGTTGGCAACGCTGGGGGGCACCCCATACATGTATATATATACAGTTATGTATATATATACACATAACTGTATATATGCACAAATAAATGAACACAGACGTATGCACATGGGTATGCACATGCACATGCATCTACATATACATCTAGATCTACATATGCACATACACATATACGTATACACAAACATATGCCTGAACATAGACATCTACATACACATTTACATAGTCATGTACATATGCATATGCATCGACATATTCATGCATGTATACATGTACATAAGCATACGCACCTACTCATACACATACATGTGCATATTATAGACATATACGCAAACACATGCATACACATATACACATACTATACATGCACATATACACAAACAAATACATAGGTGTGCACCCAAACACAAGCACAGACAACACACAAAACCCTAACACGACCAGACAACAAACAAACATGCGTAGAAACCGGAGATCCAGGTCTCGCATTTGTTTCACGTCGGGCGTTTTCCCTTGGCTTCGTGCCCCGGAGTGCCATCAGGAATCGGTTCGGCGCGAATGTTGCAAGACAAAGACGGGGCAGAGGGTTCCAGCCGCAATTTTCCGCAACGTCGCACGCGTCGTAACTCACCGAAAGGTTTGTCTAAGTTTTCGGCCTCCAGGGGGGCTCTCTGGGACGAGGGACCGCGTAACAACGGCTTGGGATGAAGAGCTGGCCATGGAAAGCTGCGAGATCGTTGTTTTTCTCGGGAAGGAGGGAGGAGAGGGGATTGGAGGGAAGGGGGGGTGGGAAGGGGGAAGGGGGGACGGAAGGGGGGAGGGCGGATAGAGGCATGGGCTGATAGGGGGGGAGAAGGGCGGAAGAAGTGCGGAGGAGAGGGGGAGGCAGGGGTGGAGAGGGGGAGGTAAGGCCGGGGCCGGAGAAGAGAGGGCGGAGAGATGTGGAATGGTGTGCATGCTGGCGTCGGGCATCACAGAGCAGGAGGGCCAGGGGGGTCGTCACCTCTAAAAGTGGGCTCTCACTCGCCGAGGGCGGGTCGTCGGTGGGCCGCAGCCGTGCCGCCGGCGGGCCACGAGGTGGTCGCAGGGCGGGTCGCGGGCGGGTGTCGCCGGCACTCTGGCCGCGCACAGAGAAGGCAGAAGAGCTGGACTGGTTATTCCCTGCTTCTTCTCAGTCTGCCTGGCAAACATGTTGAATCGTTGCGGGCAGGAAAACATGATTGATGACCTGGGGCCACGGCGCGTGTCGGCACCCGCGGCCGGATTTCCCTCGGGGCGCCGGCCAGGATGTTTCGCAGGGGTTTGGGCGCATACTCTTCGAGGCCGCCCAGGGTCTGGCGACCGAGCGTCTGGCGGTGGGTCGCGAGGTTGCCTGGCGGCGGCCCAGGGGCCAGCCCCGAAGGGGCCTGGTAGCTAACAGCGGACGAGAGATTTGTCTGGGCATCGAATGTAGGCATCCCAGATGGGTTCAAAGTAGACGGGGTCGGAGCATCGCGCCGCATCGCCGATGCATCGGCAATGCGGCTCGAAGTGGAGCCCAATTTCTCCACGCCGTCGCCAGTGGTTCGCCGATGCATCTCCAATGCATCTGGGATACATCGGCGACCTGGTGCAACCCTCCGACCCCATCAACCCAGAAACCATGTTGGAGGCCTCTATATCGAAGAAGAACAAAGTGCATAAACAAATGTTCAACGGTCCGCGTGGATTCCTTGGATCCGCGCTGGGCCCCCCCTGACGGCGCCTCTGGCGCCGTCCCCGGCGCGCGGAACGTGCCAGGGAAGGGGGTCCAGCCCCGATCCAGGAAATTCGCGCGGACCTCCGACAGTGTACCTTTACGGTCGGGAAGTTTGGTTTATTTAGCGTGTCGCGCCGCCGTTTCTGGCCCACCACGCTTCTGCGCGACACGCCATCCACGTCCCAGTCCCCAGGCGTCAGCTTCCCAAGCAGTGCCCAGCCTTCCATCCCGCTGAGCGGAGCGACACGCTATCCACTTGCATGGCATAGCGCGTCGCTGGGGCCGCCGCCGCGACACACTAAGTAAGAGTTCCCGACCGTATGCAGTGTTTCGTTCCTCTAGAAGCGTCCTTGGAGGCGCCAGAGGAGCGTTCGCCCAGTCGCGGCGCAGGTGGCTCGTCGCCGACAGGGCGAGGTTGCAGCAGCAGCTCGACGTTGCGGCGTGGGAGCTGCCTGCTCGGAGCCTCTCGGGAACAATCGGGAAGCTTGTGGTTCAGTCAAAGCATGTTTCCTGTTGTTTTGGTCATTGCTCGCGAGAGTAGTCCCCTTCTCCCTCCTCTGTCTTCTCATCTTGTTTGTGATACGCTGTTTGGGTTCACCCGTATCGGTCCACTGTCAATTGATGTTGCCGCGCTGCACAGGATGCCGATCGACAGCCGCGAGGTGGCGCCTTGTCCTCCTGCATCTCCCCAAACAAGAGTTAAGTCGGGCATGTCCCTCTACAGGAGGAATAGTCAAAAATAGGCAAACCATAATCGGGGGACGATGTTTTGAGTAGTTCTGATTATGGGTGATTCTTGTTTGACTATTGTTGCTTCTGTTGCCCAAGATCCCCCTGTAGGGGGACTGGCCCGACCTAACACAGGATCCAAGAATGTGTCGTTGTTGCATAATTTGTCTTCGCCCGCTTGCCGAGTCGACACAGGGGCATTTCCTGAGACCCTCTTGCCGAAAAGCTGCGAGCAACACGTGGCCGTTTGCGAGTTTTCTGGGCGTGGTCTTTCCGAGGCGGGAATGTATCCATATCCACCGCCTAGAGTCAGTTTTGGGAGCCTCGGCAAGCGGTGGATATGGACACATTCGGGCCCCCAGGGGCCGAAATATATCCATACCTATGCGACCACCCCTCGGGTGATAAGGAGGTTCGGGGGGGAGGAACCAACGTCTCACTCGATCGGTCTCACTATCGATATTACTATCGATCTCATGATCGATCTCGCTCGATCGATCTCACTCGATCGATCTCACAATCGATAGCACTCGATCTATTTCATGCGATCGATTTCATAATCGATATAACTATCGATCTAGCAATCGATCTCACGATCGATTTCACTATCAAGCTCACAATATTTTTCACATTCGGCCTCACTATCGATATGACTATCGATATCACCATCGATCTCACAATCAACGTCATCATCATCGACACCATCGTCATCAACGTCATCAACATCATCATCATCGGGGCACCATCATCATCATCATCACCTCTTCACCATCATCAACATCCCCATCATCACCATCATCATAATCATCGGGACACCATCATCGTCACCATCATCATCGTCGGGGCACCATCATCATCATCGGAACACCAGCATCATCATCATCACCATCATATCATACTCAGCATCATGGACAACATCGTCAACATCATCATCAACATCGGGACACCATCATCATCAGTAACATCATCATCAACATCATCATCATCATCATCGGGGCACCATCCTCATGCTTACCATCATCATCGCCATCATCATCATCGGGGCACCATCAGCATCAGCAACATCAACACTATCATCATCGGGCCACCATCATCAAAATCAGCATCATCTCATCATCATCATCATCATCAACATCATCATCATCATCTTCGAACACCATCATCGTCATCATCAGCATCATCATCAACCTCACCATCATCATCGGGACACCATCCTCATCACCATCATCATCACTATCAACAGCATCATCATCGACATCATCATCATCATCGGGGCACAATCATCATTACCTTCATCTTCATTCTCATCTCGCTATCTCATCATCATCAATAGCATCACGAACATTAGCATTTTCATCATCGGGACACCATCATCATCAGCAACATCATCATCAGCATCAGCATCATCATCATCATCATCATCATCATCGGGGCACCAGCGTCATCACCACCATGGCCATCATCATCATCATCATCATCATCACCATCATCACCATCATCGGGACAGCATCATCGTCACCATCACCAGCATCATCAACATCATCACCGGGACACCAACATCTTCCTCATCGGAACACCACCATCATACATACATATAACGGCGCACCGGGTCCGGGGGCCCGGGGCCGGGACCCCGACCACAAATGTGGGCTCCGGGGGGCCCGGAGGCTCGTCGGGGCTTGCCGGAGGCCTCCCCAGTCAGACAAGACGGCCCCAGGAGCGCCCAAGACGGCCCAAGAAACTTCCAAGAGGCCTCCAAGAGGGCTCCGAGATGCTGAAGATGGCCTCCAGACGTCCAAGGACGCCCCCAAGAGGCCCCAAGAAGCCTCCAACATGCGTCCCAAGAGGGCCCCTAGACGCAAAAATTGGCCCATTCCCTTCGTAAAACGTACATTTTCAACAAAGTTGTCTTTTGGGCTTTCCGACGTTACAGGACGGCCCAAGAGGCGCCCAAGACCGCCCCAAGACGGCCCAAGAAGCTTCCAAGAGGGCCCCAGGACAGCCCAAGAGGGCCCCAAGACGGCCCAAGAGGCGCCCAAGATGGCCCAAGAGGGCCCCAAGACGGGCCCAAGAGGGGGCCCAGAGGGGGACCACGAACCGCAAGCTCGAGCCTTCCGCCCCAAGAGGCCGCCAGGAGGCCCCCAGGAGGCCCCTCAAGAGGCCCCAGGAGACCCCAGACGTCCAAGGACGCCCCCAAGACGCCCCAAGAAGCCTCCAACATGCGTCCCAAGAGGGCCCCTAGACGCAAAAATTGACCCATTCCCTTCGTAAAACGTACATTTTTCACAAAGTCGCCTTTTGGGCTTTCCGACGTTACAGGACGGCCCAAGAGGCGCCCAAGACCGCCCCAAGACGGCCCAAGAAGCTTCCAAGAGGGCCCCAGGACAGCCCAAGAGGGCCCCAAGACGGCCCAAGAGGCGCCCAAGATGGCCCAAGAGGGCCCCAAGACGGGCCCAAGAGGGGGCCCAGAGGGGGACCACGAACCGCGAGCTCGAGCCTTCCGCCCCAAGAGGCCGCCAGGAGGCCCCAAGGAGGCCCCTCAAGAGGCCCCAGGAGACCCCAGACGTCCAAGGACACCCCGGGGGGCCCGGAGGCTCGTCGGACCGCTGGACGCCGTCCAAGATCGTTCGCAGGCGGCTTCGGAACGCGCTCCGATGGCTCCAGATGCCTTCCAAGACGCCTGTCATGACACCAAGAAGGTCCCAGAAGCCTCCAAGACGCTCCGAGAGGCAGCCCAAGAGAGGCCCAAGAAGCAAAAATCGTGCCATTCCTATGGGAAAACGTATATTTTTCGCATGTTCGCCTCTTGGGTTTTCACCGCGTCCAAGACGGCCCAAGAGGCGCCCAAGACGGTCTACGAGGCCTCCGGGAGCGCTCCAAGGCTGCGCACGAGTGGCCCAGGACGGCCCCAAGACGGCCGAAGAGAGCCCCAAGACGAGTTCGAGAGGGGTCCCAGACGGAGAAAGCCAACCTCGAATTCCGAGCTTCCGGCCCAAGAGGCTCCAGGAGGCGCCAAAATGCCGCCAAGAGGCGCCAAAAGGCTCCCAAAAGCACCCCAAGACGTTCCGAGAGGCACCCCAAGAGAGGTCCAAGAAACAAAAATCGTGCCATTCCTATGGGAAAACGTATATTTTTCGCATGTTCGCATCTTGGGCTTTCACCGCGTCCAAGACGGCCCAAGAGGCCTCCAAGACGGCCTAGGAGGCCTCCGGGAGCGCTCCAAGGCTGCGCACGAGTGGCTCAGGACGGCCCCAAGACGGCCCAAGAGAACCCCAAGACGACTTCGAGAGGGGTCCCAGAAGGAGAAAGCCACTCTCGAATTCCGAGCTTCCGGCCCAACATATCCCAGGAGGCGCCAAAACGCCGCCCAGAGGCGCCAAAAGGCTTCCAAAATCAGCCCAAGACGTTCCGAGAGGCACCCCAAGAGAGGTCCAAGAAACAAAAATCGTGCCATTCCTATGGGAAAACGTATATTTTTCGCATGTTCGCATCTTGGGCTTTCACCGCGTCCAAGACGGCCCAAGAGGCCTCCAAGACCGCCCCAAGACGGCCCAAGAAGCTTCCAAGAGGGCCCCAGGACAGCCCAAGAGGGCCCCAAGACGGCCCAAGAGGCGCCCAAGATGGCCCAAGAGGGCCCCAAGACGGGCCCAAGAGGGGGCCCAGAGGGGGACCACGAACCGCAAGCTCGAGCCTTCCGCCCCAAGAGGCCGCCAGGAGGCCCCAAGGAGGCCCCTCAAGAGGCCCCAGGAGACCCCCAAGAGGCCCAAAGGAGGCCCCGAGAAGCCCCAAATCGGCCCCCAAAATGCTTCGAACCTGCTTCCAGGAGGCCCCCGACAGGTTCAGAGGCTCCCGAGAAGCTACGTCAAACTCCCAGCGAGCGGCCGGACGAGGCCCCCCACAAAATCACAAGAAGGTTCCAGTATTTGTATCCTTCAGCGCTCTCTGGCCTTCTTCCCCCTGCCCCCTTCCCTGCGACTTTCGTTGACTCAAGCTCGCCTCCTAGCTAGAACCTAAGCGCGCGCGAAGCGCGCGCGTTGTTCTAGTCATCATATCATCATGAACAACATCATCAACATCATCATCATCATCGGGGCACCATCAGCATCAGCAACATCAGCGCAATCAACATCATCATCGGGGCACCATCATCATCGTCACCATTCCATTATCATCATCATCGGGACACCATCATCTTCATCAACATCAGCACCATCATCATCACTTTGCGGGCCACCACCATCAAAATCAGCATCATCATCACATCATCATCATCCGCATCATCATCAACACCATCATCATCGGGACACCATCATCGTCATCACCATCATCAACATCGGGACACCATCACCATCATCACTATCAGCATCATCAACAGTATCATCATCAAACTTCCCATCATCATCGGGACGCCATTATCAGCATCATTTTCATCAGCATCATCATCTCATCATCTCAGCATCACCAGGATCATCAACACCATCGTCACCACCACCAGGACACAATCCTCATCATCATCAACAACATCAGCATCATCAACATCATCACCATCGGGACACCATCATCATCATCACCATTGCCATCATCAACATCATCAACATCATCATCATCATCATCATCATCATCATCATCATCATCATCATCATCATCATCATCATCATCATCATCGGGACACCGACGGGACACTGGCGGGACACCGGTGGGACACCGCGCGGCACCGTTTGCCGGAAGGGAGACTTTTGGTCCGGCCGCGCCTCAGCCAGAGGCAGGACATTTTTCGCCCGCCCACGCACCCTCGCCTCGCCCGCACGCACTGCACGCACGAACACGAAACCGAAACCGATTTCCCGGTGGGGGGCTCTCCGTTCCACTTTGATCTCACCCCCTCACCTCCGATCCAATGCCCGCTGGGGCTCCAACGCCCGCTGGGGCACCAGGACGTCGGTTCCCAGGCGGTGGAAATGGATAAATCCCGACCTCGCATTCTGGGCGTGGTCTTGGAATCTTCTGGGCCTGCACGAAAGCGCTCAGAAGGAGTCCTCGAGGGTCGGGAGGCAATCCGTGAGCCTCTCGGGGACGCTTCGAAGGTGTCTCGGGACCGTCTTGGGGTATACCTACAGACATGCCGGAGCGGAGCAGGGTAGCAGAATCTTGCAAATGAGCTCCCAGGCGCAAACAGTGGGTTCCATGCAACCATTGAAATTGTCCTTGGGATCGTCGGGGAACGATTCGACGCCTATTCGAAGCATCAGCGCCCATCGCGATCGGTTCAGGATTGATAGTCCAGTGCCAAGCGTATTGATGATCCGTTTGGCCGTTGTGGCTCCAATCCGGTTTTTCTGGGAAGCGTTTCCCCGCTCCAAAAAGCTCCCGGACGCGCCCGAGACTTTCCGAGACCCTCAGAGGACAAAGGTTGAGCTATGTTCTGGAGTCTTTCCTTCGGGTGGTGTTAGAGTGTGCTTGTACCTGAGTGTCCAACAGGTGTGTACGAGGAGCCGGAGGCAGTTTAAAAAACCCTCGGGACCGCTTTACGGACGTCGCGGGACCACCTGAGTGCCATGATACGCTTTTTTGAGGCATAGAGAGCGGCAACCGCAAACCACTGCAACGAGCAAGGATTTTCAATCGTGGTGGCGTGCTTCTGATAGGGCTACGGACACGCAGGCAACAGCAGCCTCGGAACCAAAGGTGAGGCCAATGATCGAGTCTCAGGAGAGCTGAGCGTCGCATCCGTCTTTGCAGATACGTATAGATCGTTGGAGACCCTATGAAGGCTTGGGGGGGGCACCAGTTTCGACAGTCTGGAGGGCACACTGGGCGTGGCCATGGGCCCCGTCAGGCCCTCTAGCATGGAGTCGGGCCTGTCCCTCTAGAGACGGGAATATGAACAAATAGTCCAACAATAGTCTGGGGCGCATGTTTGATTATGTTTTGCACATGTTCGAGTATGGTTTGTCAATTCTCTATGTTTCGTGCAAAATCCGCCTGCAGGGGACATGCCCGACCTAACCTTAGCAACATCCAGCAGAGAGTTGGCCAGACGAGGCCCGCGCCACCAGCTTCGGTGAGCGGGACAGAGGGGCGGCCTCGCGCGCGCGGGGGAATCTGCGCTCGGTCGTCCGCGCGGCCTGCGTAGACAGCCAGGACGCCAAGACGCTGAAGTAAGGGCCACGTTGGGGTGAAGTCGGGCCTTTCCCTCTACAGGGGGAATGTTCAAAAATAGTGTCAAAATGGTCTGGGGGCGATGTTTTGACTATTTCTGCTCGGCCAGGGGCCTGCCGCGGAGTCGATGTCTCGCTGGAAAGCGCGGCTTTCGGCAGCCCCGGCTGGCCTGGCGCCCGCGGCCGACCGGCTTCTGAAGGCGCCCGCGGGGGCCGCGGGCCCCGAGGGCACCCCCATCTTCTAGGGGCGCCCAGCCGCGCCGGCCAGCGACATTTTCGCAGTCGAGTCTGAGGGTCGGGGCGGCCTGGAGGTTTACCACCTGAGCTCAGCCAGCCTCTGGGCCAGACGCCCCTGGCCAAGTTAGACAGGCCCATGCCAGATCGGAGAGGCAACGGCGCCATGCCGCCGCGCCCTGTCAAGGAGGCGCCCCCTGATCGAACGCGAAGCCACCGTGTCCTGTCAGGAGCGGCTCAACTTGATCGCGCTGATAGCCAAAGAGGATGGACGGCTCCGCCCCGCCGCGCTCCTGAGTCCCCGTCGCGCGCTGCCCTGTAGGGTCCAGGAGCCTGTCGCTGGAGATTGTGGCAAGGTGGCCCACGGAGCCAGGGACAAGACCGTTGGTTGCCCAGCCGAGAACTCTGGCAGGGCGGGCGAGCTCGAATCCGAACTGGCGTTGCTGGGTGGCTGTGGTGTTGCTTGAGGCCTCCTCGTCAAGGCATTATGTGATTTGGTGAGTTCCCTTGGCCGCGCCCAAGCCTCGGTGGTCCTCCAGTACCCCCTCGGGTGGTCAAAGCACAGCACACGAAGGGCCTACCTCCCAGGTGGGTCGTCAGCTATTGAGGCAGTGACCCTGTCGGCGAGGGCGACCGTGCGGCACAGTGCCGCCCACGCCTCAGCCTCACCTTGGATTTTGGAGACGGCAGATCTCTAAACAAAATCCTGCTTGCAGATTGCCGAGTGCTTCTAGGACAGATCCTCCTCCTTCTCCTCCGCCTCCTCCTCCTCCTCCTCCTCTTCCTCCTCCTCCTCCTCCTCCTCCTCCTCCTCCTCCTCCTCCTCCTCCTCCTCCTCCTCCCCCCTCCTCCCCTCCTCTGTCTCCCCTGCTCCTCCTCCCTCCTCCCTCCTTCACTTCCCCTCCTCCACCGCCCCCTCTGCCTCCCCCTCCTCCTCCTCCATGTCCACCTGCCCCTCCTCCTCCGCCTCCCCCAGCACCTCCCCCTCTCCTCCTCCACTCCCCCCTCCCCGAGGAGCGCGGACCAGGGCCGCCGGCTCAGGCTCGAAGAGCTGCAGCGGCACGAGCTGGCCGAGCGGGCCGGGGAGCTCTCGGCGCGGCCACACTCTCGGCCTCCGTGAGCCGCTGGGGCGAGGAACGGGGGCGGGAGGAGTGAGGGAGAGGGGAGGAGGAGGAGGAGGAGGAGGAGGAGGAGGAGGAGGAGGAGGAGGAGACATGGCCCAGTTGTATAACATGATGATCTTGATGATGAATGAGCAGAAGGTGCAGAATCAACGTATATTTGATTTGCAGCAGGCGACCACTTCCATGGGACAATATGTAACCACATTACCCAGCATGGCTAACATTTCTGCGATGGGGTTTACCAACGGGGCCCCCCTCCCACGGCTGCTATGGAGGCAGCTTCGGGGGGCCCGGATCACAACGTCAAGATGCAGGCAGACTAGGCATGCGAGCTTCTAGTACCGAAGACGCCGCCAACCAGACCGCCGACCTCACCGACGCCAGTGGCTCCTACACCGGCGCAGAGGCTGGAGCCAACATCGCCATTTCCACCTGTTCAACCAGATCTTGTTGTATTGGGGCCAGCACAATCAACCATGGTCGAAGAGGACACACCGACGCCGTGCGACGAGCAGACTCCTGCCACGATCGAACCCTTTCTGCTAGAGCCGACACAAGCCATGGCCACTCAGGCAGAGGATCCACTTATACAAGGGCCATCTCACTCAGTGACGATGGCATCGGCTTCATTTGCTCCAGTACCCGAGAGTGGCCCCCAGCAGATGACCAAACAGGAGTTCAAGCAATGGGCCAACAAGATGGGAGTCCAGGTGGAGACGCCGCTGAGCCAGACAGAGGTCTTCGTGGAGGCTTTCACCGTGGATTCCGACCCAGAGAGGCGCAGCCCCCCCCGCAAGGAGGCACGTTGTCTCCAGTGAGTGAACGCAGGCCAGCCAGTAGTAAAAGAGTGACTTGGGGCCCAGGGACCATGGCCCTTTTTCACTCGGATGCGTTGCCAGAGATTTCACCTCCCCCTGCTCACCGTTTCCCTCCAAATCCTCACTCGAAGGAGCTCTCTCGAGGCACTCAGGGGCTCTGGCATCCAAAACATGTGTCACCTGTTTTTCGGCTGATGATAACTATTTCGCAGATCTTGGCTACTGCTGGAGTCTGTCAGCACCTGCAGTGTCACTTGCGATGAAATATTCTGATCCTGTGTGGGATCATCTAGCACAGGCCACTGTTTGCTCTACTTACATGCTTGAGAAGTGCCCCTGGAGTACCAAACTCAGATGGGGATTCTTGGCAGAGGTTCATCACTTTTGTAGATTGGGGTTCCTAGATACATTTGATATTGAGGCCAACAGTTGGGGGAAAACGCTGCGCCGCGGGGCTTGGCCCCTAATTTGTGCCCGCCCCGCCGCGTGGGGGCTCAGAAGAGCAGCATCGTTTCATTCCGCGCGCCCTAACTTAGATGCAAGGGAGGTGGGGGATGTTTACTATACTACAGGGAACGTTGGGAGGGGGGAACTACCAGAGGGCTTCTTTGATCAGCAGCGAGGCAAAGCTTCCCAGGACGTGGGTAACTACACTGGTCGAAGGCAAACGCTTTGCTCTTGCAAGAAGGCCACGAGGCCCCCGTCACATGCCGTACTTGCAACGCTGGTCTTAGTGCTGGCACTCATCAGCCTTCTCTTCTCGTCGGGAGGTTTTGAGGGAGAGGGTCGGGGGGCAGATCAAGGACCCAGCCCGCTGTTCCAGCAAGGCTTGATCGGTGCCCGAGTCTGCACATGTTTTTCAGCTTACAGAGTCGTTTCAAAAGAAGTAATTAATGATCGGCACTTAGTCTCCTCTCTCACCTCTCCAAGCATGCACTGCCCGTTATTTTTGCTGGCCGAAGAGACAGCGTTGCGCCAGAGCAGAGGCGCCGCTGAGAGTTTGCGAGCAGTTGCATCGCTGCCAGTCCAGCAGAACAGTCAGGGGGGCCCACTCTTCTATGATCTAGATTACAGTTTTGAGATTTCCCTTCCCTCCGCGTTCTCCCCTTCTGCTACAGACTGCCAATGTCAGAGACCTTTAGCATCCCCTGAACAACCAGCCATGGTGGCTGGTGACCCCAGTGGAACTGCGCACCCCGCCACCCCAGAGCTTTTCGCAAGGTGCCCGTTTCCAGGCACACCCCCATCCCAAGGATCGTTGCGGATGAGGGAGTGCTTCAGCTTTGCCATGGTATACCCGAACAGGCCAGAATGCCGCCAGAGGATGCACTGGCCTGGGATCTATGCCCCCACCGACCCACACAACCTGTTTGTAGGGTTCATTTGTACACTGATGGCTCATTGAAGCATGGCGACAATGAGCCAGCAGCTTGGGGGATGGTTGCTGTCGTTGAGGACATTGAAGGGCTTGCATTCGGTGGACAATGGTAGGGATTGGTGAATGAAAGCTTCCGCACTCCTGCCAGAATGGCCGACCTAGCCAGCACCGACACCGAATTCGTGGCAGCTCACTGGGCGTTAATATACTCTCTATCCCTTGACCCCAGTATTGCGATCTCACTGGGAAGTGACTCCATGAATGTCGTTGCGGCTTTGAACGGGGCTTCCTCGCCGCCGCGACGCGATTGCTTGGCTCGATTAACTTGCCCCCTGGCTGAAGCAGTCAGGATTAGGACATCGGTATGCAACCCCAATTTTCCCAAGGGTCGCTTAACTGTGACGCATGTGAAGGGACGCGTAGGTCAACCTTGGAATGCCTTTGTGGATTTGATTGCGAGGTGTACCCGCAAGGGGGAAGCTATACCCACCACAATCACCAGTGCTCTCGTAGATGCTTCCTCTTTCAGCGTTGCCAGGGAATGGGAATGGCTCGACTCAGCGCCGCCAGAAGTTAGAGCAGCATACCCACCACTGCTATCGAGAGAAGACATCCCGATTCCCCCTTGTCGAGTTCACAGGGAGGATCTAGACGGTCAGCTTCCCATCGCCGCCCCTGGGCAATCAGGTCAGTTCAGTATTGATTTTCGCATGGCGCAGTATAACATGCGTTCTGCCTCTGTCAAGAAGGCCCGGGGACGAAAAGGGCGACAACGACGGGCCCGCAACAAAGCCCTGCGCCTACAACTGCAACTCGAAAAAGCTTTTATCACTGTGGTTCAGGAGGCACGGAACCCCAAGGGAACCAGAGTTGCTGATGGTTTCCTGATGCTTTCCTCGGGACACGGGGATGAAGGGATGAGAGTTGAAGTCTGGGTTAATTTTACCTTACCATGCGCTCAGAAAGGTAAGGCCAAACTTTTTGTACGAAAGGACCAGGTAAGGACATTGTGGACTACTCCCCGCATCATGGTGGTGCGCATCACCGCCACCGCGATCGACATTGCCCTAGTTGCTGCCCGCGCTCCACACTCCAGGACGGGCGCGGATATAAAAACGGCACTATGGAGAGACATGGCCCTCGTGTGCCAACGATTTACCCCCCAAGTGGTTATGATTGATGCCAGCGGACGGCCAGGCAGTGTCTGCTCGAATGCTGTTGGACATGAGGGTTTCTCTCAAGAGCAGGACGCACAGGGACTAGCATTGCATAGTTTAGCCCTTGACTGTTCCTATGTTGTGCTCAACACTGTCACACCCTCAAGTGAAAGCGGACGCACCTACCAGTGCCCGCAAGGATCGCCGCACCGCATCGACTACATTCTTGCCAGTAGCGCGTGGCGGCAGAGATGCACGGATTGCAGAACTCTCTTAGGTTTTGACAATCACATGCCCGTGAAGGACCACTTCCCACTCACGGCACTTTTCTCGTGGACACAGGGGGGCCTCAAGGGGCCTAAAATGCCTACGTGCCCCCTCGGCCCTGCATTATTGGCTGATGCCTCCAGGTGCGCAGTTTTTGCACAACGCATTGCTGATGTGCAACCAGTGCCGTGGGAGAAAGACATTAATGAGCATTACTGGTTTATTTCGGACAGGATGCGAGAAGCGGCTGCTGAATGCTTTGCTTACCCTGAAAGGGCCCCCCGCAAGGTTTATGTGACTGCTAGAGCCCTCGACCGCATCCAGTGGAGACGCTCCATCAATCGTGTTCCTAAGGAAGTCACATGCTTCGAAGTTACCTGTCTGCTCCTCACCCCCATTGGTTCATGTTTGCAACAAGGTGAGGAAGGGGGGCTTGAGTGTTGCCTTCGAACAAAGGTTTAGAAGTCCTGAGCGAACTCTGGCTCAGCCTCTAGTGTACGCAGCAGGGCTCGCATTAAACTTTGGGCCCCAGTCGAAACACATGCTCGTGCATCTTCCTGTTATTATGACAAACGTTTCGATTGTGTCCCCGGACTTGCTCACTGAGATCCTCGAGGCGGATAAAAAATACAATTTGCTTGAAACCATGGGCAATAGAATCGGAGTTTCGATTGATGCCAAGTTGCAGAAGTCCGAGTGGAGTTGTGTCAAAAAACTCCTGGCTCATGGGGGGCGAAAAAGCAAGGGTGGATTGATGGCGTCTTACCCCTCATGGAAGATACGCGCGCGGATCTAGGGATACCCACCCCCCTGCTTTGTTACCACCAACCTGGATACTCTTTGCTGAGCTCAGTGAACGTCATGTTTCAAGTACGACAGGAGACTCATCATCGAAGAAGGTTCTGTTATCAGAGATCCCTGTGTCCCAGGAATTTCGATCCCTGCTCATATTGCCAGCCGCAACCTCATGCGATATGACCTCTTTTTCGCAGTGGCCGACAGGGCATTGATCGGCAACGGCTTCGAGGATTCTATGAAATGGCATGGTCTCATCTTTGGTGCAGGGGCCCCTCACAAGGGGCCATCCCCCCCTCCCCCACAGCCTATAGTACTCCAGACTCAAAGCGAAGTGGTCCAACATGTTCAGGGCACCTTCAGTAGAGCTGAGAATGGCCAGGAACGTGGTTTCATCAGTTTGACCACTCGTTTCAATGATGCTTCGGTCCCCTTGGATCCCAAGATTTTAAGGGAGTCTGTCTGCCCCCCCTCCCCTTTGGATCTGGAATACCAAATCAAGGGATTCAAAAGGGGGAGGCGCCCTGGGCCCGATGGGGTGGTCCAGGATTTGTTCAAA